ATTTTTGTGATGTAACTTATCTCTTTTCATAGTTCTTTGGGTTCTCATTTGTATATATTAAACTGTTAAACTCTGTTCCTTGCGCTGATATTATATCCTGATCATGGGCATCCATAGCAGAGGTTAAGGGAGAGAAGTGAAGAAATACATATCACATCATTACAACATAAATTCTGCACCCTATGCACTTTCATGTGATAGAGAAACAGACGCTTGGATTGTAATGTCACGACACATATTTCCTAGAGTTTGGGGATTTAACTTGATCTAGGATGCTCACAGTTTTCCAGTTGAAACTATGGCTGAATCTGTCCATAGGCAACAGGGAAGGTGTGAGCATCCTAGACAAGGTAAATCCAAAAATGGAAAGGAATTCCTGGAAGCCGGGCATTCATTGTGATTTCAAACATCAGATATCTGGCATATCTGTGCTTTTGGTTTGTATAAAATTATCTAGTTATGACATCTATAATCATTTGGATCAGTGGTGAAATCCAAATTTTTTTACTACTGGTTCTGTGTGCGTGGCTTGGTGGGCGTGGCATGGGAAGGATACTGCAAAATCTCCATTCCCACCCCACTCCAGGGGAAGGATACTGCAAAATCCCCATTCCCTCACCACTCCTGGGGAAAGAATATTGCAAAATCTCCATTCCCACCCCATTCTGGGGCCAGCCAGAGGTGGTTATTTACCGGTTCTCCAAACTACTCAAAATTTCCGCTACCAGTTCTTCGAACTGCTCAAAATTTCTTCTACGGTTCTCTAGAACCTGTCAGAACCTGTTGGATTTCACCCCTGATTTGGATCATAAAATACTCTTGATGCTTTTAGAAATTATCATTTGATATAGTTAGTGTGGTAGTACTAATATAATGTATGGAGCTTTTAAAGGTTGAAATTACTGCAGATATTACAGACATTCATAACTGTGTATTTAGGAATGGTGAATCCAAAGGTTCTTTCATAATCCATTAAAAATCAGCCTAAATTACTCTGGGAATCCAATTTTTATTATTCTGTATTTTTCCCAATTTATACCTGTAGTAAGTGTTAAGAAGGCTTTACCACAATTTCTAAAGCATAATTTGATAAGGGAATTTCATGTCCCATGTGGTTGATTGCACATATGTGCATGAGATAAATGCATCAATAGATACCAGAACTTATACTTACATTAGTCAACACTTGACTGAATTATTTCAGCTTTCTATGCCAGCTGTCTGTTCTTAGATCCATTTTATTCTTCATTATCTTTGTTCACCTGCCATAGGATATTGGGCTTCCACTATTTTTACTTAAGCTGTTAAATATATTGGAATTAGACAATCACTCACTTCTGTTCTGTCCTAACTTCACACAATTTATTTGTAAGAGACATTGTGAATGTTGCTCAGGATCTCACTGTCTTTCCAAAATATTTTAGCACAAAATATATTTTACAAATATTTTCTATTACATAAGAGCTATAAAGGTATCACAATGTTTTTCTCTTTGCGGAGCAGGGGTAGGCGTGGCCTGTTCGTGGCGCATCCAACCCACGGGCTGCCAGTTTGACACCCCTGCTCTAGAACATGAATAACATTCCAAGCCAGACTCCTTGAAGTAACAAAATTAGTGGCATGCAACCTATTGTTATGAAAGTTAAAGACATAAATCTGTAGCTGCAGTAGAAAGACTACAAACAGGCATCAGCTGCTAATACTAATACCCATAGTTACTGTCCTTAAAATATTCAAAACCTAGCAACATTGTTAGCTTTCAGCTGCCACTATCCCAAATGGGCCTTAAAAATGAATTTTTAATAAATTTCTGTCAGGCATGGTTAGATGGTCTTGAATTCCAATCCCAAAACATATCTGTTTGCTAGCAGTGCTAGCTTTTCATGTGTTTTAGCCTGAATAGGCATACATAAAGTGTTTAAAATAATAGTTACATAAATATGATAAGATGTAAACATTGGATAGTGTTTTTGTAATCACTACTGCATGCAGACTTAGAAGCAATATTTCAGAAATAGATATGCTTTTGGGGTGAGGTTTATTACTTTATGACAGTAAAAACATAATAAATAATTGCTTTTAAATTATATGAGAAATTAGAGGCTGATTTTAGAAAGTTAAATCCAAAATGATGTGGCAGTTCTGCCAGAGTGTATTTTATTAATAGAAATGAAGACAGTGAAGAGTTTTGTGACACCTTAAAGACAAATATATTTGGAAGTTTAAACCCATAATACGTTTTGCTTTCTTTACTGATTCATCTGTCTTTGTGGTAAAGAGAAGGTTAAAAAACTGGCTGAATGGATTCTGAATATGCTCTTGGTGCAAATAGCTAAAAATCTAAGAATGCTGATAATTATTTATACACTGTATATAACATAGGTGTTTGCTGTTTGAAGAAAGAAATGTCAAAAGAAAGAAAATTTTCATTCAAACAATTGAACTTGCTTAAAATGTTAGACCTTCACTCTAGAAAATTGGTATGTGTAATTCAGAACCATTCTATTATAAGAATATTGTTATATAAAATATCCATTATTAGATTAGAATTAATCTATTCTGAATAACCAACCTATATTACAGTACTTTAAATGGATACAGTACTTTTGCAGCACCTTGCTTTTAATTATGTGAATTCAGCATCATGAATCTAATTTCATATTTCTAGGGTACATTTTAATAAATCATTCACTTTAGATGGGTATCAAATTTTAGTTAAGAGATAAAAGGGATGTGGAAATATATATTAAAAACAAACAATGTTCACATAGGAGTTAACCTGTCAAACATGGATATGCATAGCCGGCTGTAAACCTTTTTCTCTGAATAGTTGTACTCCAGCTGATTAGATCCCGTCTTCAACAAAGCACAGTTAACCTTGAGCCTTGCATGAATAATTAACCAGGTAGAAAATAAAGAATGTGAAGGCATCTTACTGGCAGAAAAGATCAGCTGACCTCTGTAAGCAAGTATGTCTTGTTCAAATGAACTTCAGCCAGTTTAAATATTTGTTCGAATTCCGTAATGCTGTATGTGTGTGCCTGTGGTATACATGGACGCGGGTGTGGATGTATTTTTCTAGAAGCTAGTGTTCTGTTCCCCACACATCAAGTACGGTAGCAAAGTAAACTCATTCAATTAAACATAAATGCAGCAACAGTGGCAACTTGCTGTACATAGCAACTGTCCAGTTATCTCGGAAGCCTCCCAAAAAATACACACAAAAGAACTAATAAGCATGCTGTGGCCAGTGATATGGAATTGTGACAAGATTTTAAGTCAACAAAGAAGATGTGAAGTGGAACTGCAGCAATTTTTAAAGAATTGAGCGGTGTCAGACCTTCTGTAGGATTTCAGGATGAAGCTAACAGCAGCGAGTATCTGTAGCTCAGAATTGAACTGCAGAGTTCTTGATGCTTTCTGAGCTTGATTGCTTGAGTGTAGATATTTCATTACCCAACTAGTTAATATCATCAGTGCCTGAAACATCTGCAAGCAAACAGCCAGGCTCAGAGAACAGCAAAAATTCCACACTGCAGGACATTCCAATAATCTACCAGCCTTATTATGTTATTTATTTTATGCAACAATTAGAAAAATGAGTCCAAATTCAAGATGACCTCTCTTTGCAGAGGGTTAGACAAAAAAAAAAATGGTTTTAAAATACAACTCTGGACTTCTTCCTGTTTTTCTGCCTTGTCAGTTGCAGTTTGTAAACGACACTAAAATCAGTTTGAAACTTACTTTTCCCAGCTAAGCGTGTGCAAGTATTGTGAATTTAAGTGAATGGTGTGCAGGTTTCCTTTCTTTTTAAAAGAGCCCTGGAACTATAGTTGTCATTATTTAAATCTGCTTTATGAAGTCCAATAATGAAGTCTGCCCAACAATGAAGTCCAGTAGATAATCCTGTGTCCCCACAGTGCCCTGACACTTCCATTGGTCCTGATCCAATTAATTTTGAAAGTTAATCAGCTCATCTGCTGCTCCTGAAGAAATACCAAAAAATTAGAGCATTTTGCAAGGTTTCCACTGGAACTGTGGAAGAAGTGGCAGGAATTCAGCCCACCTTGTGGCTTTTGTCATATGCCCTCCTTCTTTCTCCAGAAGTCAAAGTACAGGTAGTCCTTGACTTACCACCACAATTGAGCCCAAAATTTCTGTTGTTAAGTGAGTCATTTGTTAAGTTTTGCCCCATTTGACAACCTTTCTTGCCTCATTTGTTAAGTGAATCACTGCAGTTGCTAAGTTAGTAGCCCAGTTGTTAAGTGAATCTGGCTTCCCCATTGACTTCCCTTGTCAGAAGGTCATAAAAGGTGACTCCAGGACACTGCAACTCTCATAAATATGAGTCAGTTGCCAAGCGTCTGAATTTTGATCACATGACCATGAAGACGCAATGGTCATAAGTGTGAAAAATGGTCATAAATCACTTTTTTCAGTGCCATTGTAATTTTGAATGGTCACTAAATGAACTGTTGTTAAGCTGTGAGTGCCATTCTTTCCCTCCCTTCAGTCTCTTCTATCCCACAGGATGATGTCCTTTGCCTTTTTTATTTTATTTTGCTACCGAACCATCTAGTGCTCCAGGTCTTGCCATTATTTACTGACCAATCATAGACCAGGGAGGATTCTCTAAAGCCATAGTGTGAGGACACACTGCACTGTGCAGAAAGTGCAACGCCGAAGATTTAGGAGAAACAAATGTTAATAGCTTAATCTTCTAAAAACAAAAACAATGTTTTTGAAAGTGAGTATAGAAACACGCATTGCTTATTTTTCTTAAATATCAGAAGTAGGAGCATAATAAATGGATCCTTGTTACAGATTGAAATAAATAGTAGATTTATAATACGTTCAGAAAACTACCAGTATCTCATCTCTCCAGCTTAGTGCTTGTTCAAAGCAGAAGCCATTCAGGCGTAATAAGATTTTTGTAAAATATTATTTTACGTTATTTGTGCTTACTTTGGTATTGAACTAGATTTTGATTTTCCTTTCAGCCACAACCACCAAACTACCACATTTAAACATCCAGTGACTGGCCAGTTTTCCCCAGAAAACGTGGAGTTCATTTTACAAGAGGAGTAAGTACCCTAGATTGATTTGCCTTACACATCTAATAACTATTCTTAACCTTTAATTAGTAGTTGAAGTTCTACAGTCTTAACTCTATAACTGCCTATTAGTGTCTACCGTTGCTTCATTCCAATTGCTTATGAATGAATGACGTAACATTTTTTTCCCATTATACTGCTCTTTCATCCCAGGCTCCAAAAATAAAAATACTTTCTTCCATTAAAAAGCTGAGGCTGGATTACATTTTGTATTGTGACAAGGGGAAAATTGTTAGATACATATGAATAACAATACACATATCATTTAATTAATTGAATGACAATGAACTTCATTTTAGTTTTTGTTCTAGCCCTTTTCAGTTCTTTGCCTTGGCAGTCTCCCACCACAGTTCTCATCATTCTATTCAAAGGCCCAGTAAACCCCCCAGCCTGAAAAGGGTTGTATATTCCTTTTCAAAAAGTGCACAAGTTAGCAAGAAAAAAAAAGGCAGTCTTCACAATATTGATTTGGGCTGAAACAAAGGTAGAAGCAAAGAAAATGCAACTCTTTATGTATTTTCCTCAGATACAAACATAAGAAAACAAAAGATGTTGTAATACTTATTAGGTGTACCAGATCATCTGTTTGAAAATGCTATGAACATAATAATATTTCATCCTTGTTTCAGTATTGTTCGTGTACAGTAATATACTTGCAATATTTAAAAAAGTTTTATACCTTTAACAAACAGATGCTTTGTAATTGTGGAAAAATAAATTTCGCATTAAAAAAAACCCTCCATATCCTTAAAATATACAATCAGTTAAATGGTTGAGTCCTGGAAAAAACATTAAATTGAAGATAGATAGCAGTTAATCTTTTCTTGACTTGAGTGAAACCATGAAATTCATTGTCATGGTTTCACTAGCTGCTTTCTCCTGATAGTTTGGTCTTTTATAAGAGAAATAATAAACAATGACCCAATAACTGTTTTAGTTGCCTGTTTTTATGTATTCCTTGATTGAATATCAGTGACAACAATGAAAACATTCTGGACATCACATTTGTCAGACCTTTTAATTTGGCTGTGTTAAGCTAGATAAGACTAGTGAGATTTCAGTGCAGCAATATGTTATATCCCATGACTTCGTTTAGCCATAACCCTTGACGGAAAATAGTCATGTTGCTAATTTAAGTCTCATCCTTTCTTTTGCGACCTGTGCTGTTGCTTGAAGATTTAAAATTCAATATGTCAGGGATGTCAAACTCACGGCTGGCAGGCCAGATGCATTACACACTGGCCATGCCCATGCCTGGTTTAGCGAAGGGGGAAAAGTTGAGATATGTCACGTGACGACCCCGTGATGACGTGAGTTTGACACCCCTGCAATATGGCATGAGCACTTTAATTTGGCAACACAATAACAGAGGTTGAGACATACAATTACATTTATAAGCTGCAGGAAAAGAGAATAAATTCAAATTAAAAAAGAACTAGGTTCCTAATTATATTCTTAAAACACAGTGTTATTCAGCATAGATTCAAAAGGTTTTTTTAAAGTAAAAAACAGAGAAGGTGCTGGGCTAGAAAACAGGAGAGTTCTAGTCCCATTTTAGACATGAGTAACCAGCTGGATGACTTTGGGACAGTCAATCTCTTTTAGCTCAAATCACATCACAAGGTTATTGTTAGGGGGAAAAATAAGAGGAAGAAGGAGTATTAGGTATGTTCGCAGCATTGAGTTGTATATGAGAGAGGGGGAGAAAGTGGTATGAAAATATTTTAAAAAGTAAACTTTTAAATTAACATTTAAAAGGGGGCGGAACCTGGGGCGGAACCATCGACCAGGTGGTTCCGCCCTAGGCGCCTGATGGATCCTGATAGGTTCCAGAGGGAGCTTGGGCCAGTTCCTGAAACTCTGGCTCACGACTCAGCTGAAAACCTGGTCGCTGCCTGGGATAGGACGGCCGCCGGTGCTCTGGACCGAGTCATGCTTTTGCGGCCTCTGACCCGACGCCGAACCTGCACGGCCCCTTGGTTCTCCGAGGAGCTGAGGGAGATGAAGTGCCGGAAAACACGCCTAGAGAGTGGTTGGAGGGCTAGTTGCTCTGAATCCGACCGAACACTAGTTAGGTCTCATATTAAGACCTGTCTAGTGGTGATAAAAGCGGCAAAGTGTAACTACTTTTCCGCTCTTATTGCATCGGCAGATAACTGCCCAGCCGCCTTGTTTAGGGTGACTCGCTCCCTCCTACATCAGGGAGCGCAGGAAGACCCCTTGCAAGAGCAGGCTGAGGATTTTGCACAGTATCTGCATGATAAGATCGCTCAGATTCGGGAAGGCTTGGACTCTGACTGGGTAGATCCTGGCGGGGTGACTGAGGCTGTTCTTGAGAATGTTATCTGGGACGAGTTCGGCCCTGTGACTCCTGAGAACGTGGATAGGATCCTGGGGAGGTTAAACGCAACCACATGTTTATTGGACCCGTACCCTCCTGGCTGGTACTGGCCACCCGGGAGGTAACAAGAGGCTGGCTCCAGAGGATTATAAATGCTTCTTTGAGAGAGGGTTTCTTGCCTCCCGCCTTGAAAGAGGCGGTGGTGAGGCCCCTCCTCAAGAAGCCTTCTCTGGACCCGGCTGTTCTGGCAAACTACCGTCCGGTCTCCAACCTTCACTTCGTTGCGAAGGTTGTGGAGAGTGTGGTTGCGCGACAGCTCCCACAGTACCTGGATGAAACTGTCTATCTAGATCCGTGCCAGTATGGCTTCAGGCCTGGGTACAGCACGAAGACGGCATTGGTCGCATTGGTGGATGATCTCTGGAGGGCTTGGGACGGGGTTGTTCCTCTGTTCTGGTCCTGTTAGACCTCTCAGCGGCTTTTGATACCATCGATCATGGTATCATGCTGCGCCGGCTGGGGGGGGTTGGGGGTGGGAGGCATTGTGTTGCAGTGGTTTTCCTCCTATCTCTCTGACCGGTCGCAGTCCATGTTGGCAGGGGGGCAGAGGTCAACCTCGAGGTGCCTTGCTTGTGGGATGCTGCAAGGGTCTCTCGCCGCTCCTGTTCAACATTTATGTGAAGCCGCTGGGTGAGATCATCCGTGGTTTTGGGGTGCGATGCCATCTGTACGCTGATGACACTCAGCTGTACATCTCCACCCCAGACCACCCCAATGATGCCCTCGAAGTGATGTCCCAGTGTCTGGAGGCCATGCGTGTCTGGATGGGGTGGAACAGGCTTCGACTCAACCCTTCCAAGACCGAGTGGCTGTGGATACCGGCGTCCCAATATAGCCAGCTGGTGCCATTGCTGGCTATTGGGGGGTGAGTCACTGACCCCCACAGAGGGGGCTCGCAACTTGGGTGTCCTCCTGGACACACGGCTGTCTTTAGAAGAGCATATGACGGCAGTGGCCAGGGGGGCTTTTTATCAGGTCCGCCTGATACGCCAGTTGCGCCCCTTTCTGGATCGGGACTCCTTGTGCACGGTCACTCATGCCCTCGTCACGTCACGCCTGGACTACTGCAACGCTCTCTACATGGGGCTCCCCTTGAGGAGCACCCGGAGGCTCCAGCTGGTGCAGAATGCGGCCGCGCGGGTGATTATGGAGCAACGTGGCGCTCTCATGTAACACCTCTCCTGCACGAGCTGCATTGTCTCCCGGTGGTCTTCTGGGTGTGCTTTAAGGTATTGGTTCTCATCTTTAAAGCGCTCCATGGCTTAGGGCCAGGATATTTGCGAGACTGCCTGCTGCTACCGATAACCTCCCACCGGCCAATACGCTCTCACAGAGAGGACCTCCTCAGGGTGCTGTCGGTCAGGCAATGTCGGCTGGCGGCCCCCAGGGGGAGAGCCTTCTCTGTGGGGGCACCCACCCTGTGGAACGAGCTGCCTCCTGGAATACGGCTGATCCCGGACCTCCGGACCTTCCGTAAGGCCGTGAAGACTTATTTATTCTACCAAGCCGGCCTAGCCTAAATGGCTCTTAATTGGGATTTTAAATTTTATGGACTTGGGGATTTTAAATTGGGAAGCCAATGATTTAATTCTTTTTAATTATCTTAAGTTTTGTATTTGTATGTTTTTTAATTTTGGCTGTTCACTGCCCTGAGTCCCTTCTGGGAGAAGGGCGGTATACAAATTAAATTAATAAATAAATAAATTAATAAACATTATTTCAATAAATAAGAATATCTTCATTTATTTATTCTAATATTGTATAATGTGCAATTTATGTTTATGAAATAAATGTAGTGTAATTAGTTAAATTTGATTTTGTTAAGATTTGATTCTGCAGGAAATAATTAACTTTATGTAGCAACATTTTCTGTTAGTAAGGTAGAACATCCTTGTTATTCATTTTAGTTCCGAAAACATTTAAGACCAAAACATACAGCTAGTGCTTGATTTACAACCACAATTGGGACTGGAGTTTTGGTCACTAAACGATGTAGTCATTAAGCAAGTCTTCATATGACCAAATTCAATTTTATGACCATTTCTATCACAATCATTAAGCAAATCATGTGGTCGTTAAGCAAATCCGGCTTCTCCAATTGATTTTGCTTGTGAGATGTCAGCTGGGGAGATTGCAAATCATGATCACATGATTATGCAAGATGCTGTAACCATTGTAAATGCAAGCCACTTACCAAGTGCCCAAAAGTTATCAAGAGTTACCAAGTTACCAAGAGCCTTGGTGGCACAGCAGACTGAAGCACTGTAAAGTGCTTTAAGTAACACCAGCTGCCTGCAATTACTGCAAGTTCAAATCTCACCAGGCTCAAGGTTGACTCAGCCTTCCATCCTTTCGAGGTAGGTAAAATGAGGACCCTGTTTATGGGGGCAATAAGCTGACTTTGTATAAAAAAGAACACCATGGGGGTGGGTGGGTGAAAGCCCTACTAAGCAGGTATATACAAAAAGTATGAAGGCTATTGCTTAACGCATTGTAAGCCGCCCTGAGTCTCCGGAAAAGGGCGGCATATAAATCGAACCAATAAATAAATACAATAAATAAATAAAATGGCAACCACGTGACCATGTCTGTGACTTCAAGGATGGGTCATAGATCCCTTTTCCAAGACCATCACAACTTCGAACCATTGTTCAATGAACAGTTGTAAATTGAGGACTATATTTATTGTGTTAATTCTAAAAAATGTTTTAGAAAGTAAATTGGAGAGTGCGGACTTCAGTTTAGATTTAGAATTTGGTGGGAAAGTTGCAATCTTTGCTCCTATGGCCTAATCTGGATTACATTCTCAGGACTATACTTTCATTTTTCAAAGCCAATTATGCAATTACCCAGGACCACCTGACGAAGCTTTTTTGGACCTTGGAAGGGCCAGGCCTGATTAGGATGTAAATATTAACAGAATTAAGAGACTTTCAGAGGATTCCAGGGTCTGTAAAATAAACTGGGAAGTTAAAAAAAACATGCTGGAGAAACACAGTAACAAACCACTGTATTGCTGTTAAGAAAGCTACATAGGTTGTAAGCCATCAGGAATAACATTTTATTTGAAGATTTTACCATTTTTAATGATATGAATGATGTTTCATCTAGCTTAAGCTATTTATTGAACTGGTGAGCTAGAAACATGGAAACATTTGCAGAGTTAGTTCATCCTAGTATCACAGTTTTAAAAAAAGATTAACAATCAATTAAATTGTGATTTCTTTCTTTCAGGCATAATTCACATATGTCCAAACATCAGGTAAACCAAAGACCTTCAAGTATGGTCAGTGAAACATCTACCGCTGTAACTACATCCACTACAGATATAAAACTTGGATCCAAGGTAAATTTGAGTTTTTAATGAAATTTGCAAAATGTAGCATAATAAGAGAATGAACTGTATTTGGGGCATTGTGTAAAGTAGAATATCAGTTCTTGTATTATTCCACTATTTCTTTCGAGTTAATCCTAAATATAGTTCGTTCGTACATACTTACCTTGTATATGCTTTTTTTTTTAGTTAGTAAAATCTAGCAATAAAGTTCATAGCTTTGGGAAAAGGGATCAAGCTATAAGGAGAAACCCTAATATTCCTGTTGTGGTCAGAGGGTGGCTTCACAAACAAGTGAGTATTATAATTTTTTTTTTAATTATATTTTTTATAATTTTTTTTTAAAGTTGCTTTAATTTACAAAAAAGGGAGGATAAAAGAAGAAATGAACTAAAAAAGAAAAGATAAAATGAGAAAAGCATACTATAATAACTATGAGGAAATTCAACCCATTTTTAAACACATCATTAATCTTTAATCGCACCGAATCTTTCTGATCGATCTTTCTATTACACCAGTAGAGTCAGTTCACATACATCATCAATCCAAAACTGTAAATCTGGGATCATGTACCCTTTTTTTAATTATACCCCATGTTGGTAAACCCAAAATTCTTCATAGTAATAAAGTCTACTTTTGGGATGTAGTATATAATTAAGTATATTCCTGCTGTTAAACTATGCTGATATTCATAATGATATATTAACAGATTTATGTATATAAAATTACAGTGGAACAAAAGTGGGACAAAACATATTGTACGAGGGTCTTCTCCATGTCTACTACATGTGCATTAATCATTTCTAACAAGACACAGGCTCTTCTTCCAGTGTGCTAATTTCTTTATGCTAATTTCTAACTTTCCCTATCTTCTAGAAGAGCTGTAAAACATTCAAAAGTAGGCTTGATTATGATATGCTATGATAGCTGGCTCTTTTAAAGCACATTTTCATACATTAAAGAGGCACATAGTCATTCCAAATTTTATTTAGTATATTTCTGTGTTATTTTATTCTAAGTTTTTACGAGATACCGATTGTCATTTGTGTTTCAGGATAGCTCTGGAATGAGATTATGGAAAAGAAGATGGTTTGTGCTGGCAGATTACTGTTTATTTTATTACAAAGGTTAGTGAATATAAATCTTTGTTTAAAAATATTTCTGCAACTGTGACCTAACTGCATATTGCTTCTGTTGCTTAAAATATTTTTTAAAAAAAAAGTCTCTGGAGAATATAGAAATCAGTTTTATTTTCCACTTACCATATTTACCATATATGAAGAAGATGCTTTCCCCTCAAATAGGCAACTGGACTTTCTGGTTTTTCTTCGAAGAGGTTTCACTTCTCATCCGAGAAGCTTCTTCAGCTCTGATTGGATGGTGGGAAAGAAGAAGCTTCTCAGATGAGAAGCGAAACGTCTTCAAAGAAAAACTAGAAAGTCCAGTTGCCTGTTGAAAATGCACCTTTGGGACAACCATGACCTGGATGACTGAGAATCTCCATAGACATTTCCCTCAAATACAGTACTTACCAATTAATTTCGGAAGCTGTGTTGCATTCCTTAAGAATAAAAGACAGCTATTAAAAATAGTAGAGATACAAATGAATATACCATATTTTTCGGAGTATAAGACGCTCCAGAGTATAAGATGCACATTAGATTTTGGGGAGGAAAACAAGAAAAAAAATCTGCCTCTCCCTATCAGCATCCAGATATTCAGATGTGAATATGTACAACATATTTTTCAGACAATTCATTTTAATTAGTTATTAATTTATTTAATACTTGTTTTATTCTGGCCTTTCCCCTTTTTGGGACTGAGACTTTTAACAGTTATAGATAAATGCTTGTTTATGTGGATACATATACACTGATGTGTAGATATGATGTGTACATATACACTGGTGTGTCATATATCCACATTTATTGGTGGAAGGAGTCTCCAAGGAATCTCCAAGATTGGCTTCTAGTTGGCAAGCCTGGGTTAACAAAGTGGGCACAAGATTTTTGCACAAGCAACGTACAAGACATGCTTATTTTTTTTTCATCCACTCCTTATTTGGGCTTAGCCATTTGGAATTTAGTTTATCTTTTGTTTGGGTGAATATGATATTTGAGGAAGGTTATCCTCAATGGCTGTTGTATTTTATATATGTGCATTTCTGATATTACACTGACAGATCAAGTATTGTATGTATTCTTCATGTAGAGAAAGTAAAAAAAAATACTGCTTATTTATTCAGGCGTCGCATACATCTTCACTAGCACTCTTTTTCTTTTGAATACTTTTAACCTTGTGAACAATGTTGCATGATTCCATTAAAGAATGAATAATAAGAGCAAACTGAAATGTACGAAGGCCTTGATCTTCTTATTTAAATGTGAAGTGGACACTTAATGCATCAGTTTGTGTTCTTCATACATACTTCATTTCTCTCATATGTCAGCTGTGCAGTTTTGTCTGAAAAATGGTTTAAAATAGTTTAATAGAATATATAAATGAATTAGAAGAGTAATCATTTAGTTATTGTCATGATCAAGGATCTTGAATTGGTATGAAACTTAGGGGAGGGGAGACAATTCCAAGCTGAAAAATTACTATTCCATTCTCTGCTTTAAGCTTTGCAGGATGTACTGAAGACTGTTAGAAACAGAACATTGGACTATATTTTTTTATATTGTTGGGAAGTAATTTACATCAAATTACATACTACAATGTATTTGCAGTACATTTAGCAATATGGGCAGAAATTGGAATCTTCTTTATAGAGGGTTAGATAACATTTTATTCTAACCCTCAATTCACTATTGTTTTTATTGGAAATGCAAAAGATTGAACCTAGGGCCTTCTGCATGCACACATGTGCTTCCCCACTATATTATTTATTTATTTATTTATTTATTTATTTATTTATTTATTTATTTATTTATTTATTTATTTATTTATTTATTTATTTATTATATTTCTATACCGCCTTTCTCCCATAGGACTCAAGGCGGTATACAGTCAAGAAAAATATAGATACACAAACATCATAAAATTGCTAATTAAAATTATTATTATAACATAGTTTGGCCCAATTAAATAGAACCTAAAATTAGATAACATTTTAAAAACATTCACATGTTCATATGTTTAGCCCCGCCTTTGGAATATCAGGGTTTTGAGGGCATGGCGGAAAGCACGAAGATCAGGGATATTTCGTATCTCAGGGGGCAGTTCATTCCAAAGGGTTGGAGCCCTCACAGAGAAAGCCCTCCCCCTGGGAGTCGCCAGTTGGCATAATTTGACTGACGGTACCCTGAGTAGTCCCTCCCTGTGAGAACGAACTGGTCGGTGGGAGGCTATTGGTGGCAAAAGACGGTCTCGTAGGTACCCAGGTCCTAAGCCATGGAGCGCTTTAAAGGTGATAACTAACACCTTGAATCGCACCCAGAAGACCACCTTATAACCTTATAACCACTCCTTAGTTTTTAAAGTGCTTACTCTCTCAGCTGGAAAGTAGCATTAGAATCTAGTGAACATTTAGTAGCTCCTATGCTATTGATCATGTGGTGGAACTATCATGTATGCGAATTTTTGCTCAATCACTTCAATCCCAAAAGAACCAGGTAAGTCCTTCACTTACTATATTTAAGTTTTTGGACCATACTAGTTAGTTTTGCTGTAAGTATATTGTGTTTTAATTTTTTTTAAAAAATTGAAACTTGATTATTTCTTTCATTCAAAAGATAGCAGAGAAGAATCTGTCCTTGGAAGTATACCATTACCTAGTTATGTAATTTCACCTGTGGGACCTGAAGATCATATAAATCGCAAATATTCCTTTAAGGTAAATTTACTATTTGCAAACTATATGGTTTCTTTTAAGCAACCAGATTTTTTTCAATATAGTCTTGATAGTTCCTTGAAAAGATGTCATAAAAGAAGCTAACTGACTTTCTGGTGCATTGGGATAACTTGCAACTGAAACAATATCTAAAATGTCTTTGGGTAGATTTTCAAAACAGTAGGCTTTGGACTTTTATTTTCCTTGACTGGGCCCTAAATAGAGCCAATCTGGAATGATTCCAACTGGCAAATTACATGATAAATTCTAATTCTGTAGTTAGAGTAATGTATTTATAAACAATTATGTAGCGTGTTTTTAAACAAGCTCATTAGATAAAGAGGACGGCTTCAGTAGTCTATAAAACTCCAAAGTTTTACCCTTGTTGCATATACAATATTTTATTTTTTGCTTGTCATCAGGAATGGGATCAGTTTTAATCAACTAGCATTAGTTTGACTGTATTTGGAAAACTATTTCAACCCATAGGTAAATTTAGGCTTTGTTGCTATTATTTAGTATTCAATACTTAGTACTCTGTTTTAACATTAAAACCCAGAAACATATAATGCTGAGTTTTATAAGTACTGTATTTATGAATTTATTAACTCTGAACTTATCCAATTCAGTGTTCTTATCTTATTTGGTGTTCTTCAATACAAAAAGATTAAGTCCAAAAATGATTGTAAAAAGTGGGTGGAAATATCAATTTCTTTTGCATTAGGATTTTTTTCACTACAAAGACTCCTATCAGAAAAAAAAATAACTGTAAAAGGAACTGTAATTAGCACTGAATGCGCTAATTTTATGTTACATAAACAGTCATAAACCTAAACCACAGTTCTTCCAATTGCAAAGTAGTTTCTGGGTTTCATTATGTGTGTGCTAACCCACAAACTGCACCCAAGGCAGCAGTGCTTCCAGAAGAGATACCGGTAATAGATTTATTTATCTATAATATAGTCCCAAAAGTTTAATTACTATGGGGGGTTAATTAGGTGGTATTACATTTTATGAGTGTACATATTTTATAGATGGAAGAAAGTGCCATTGAACTACCTGTAATGAAAACATAATTCTAACTTCCTCATAAAATATGTATGCTAAATTATACTCTAGAAAATTGTACATTATTGATTAGTAAAATAAATTACATCCTCCATTTTTCACAGATATAAATGTTCAAATCATTCCTGATCCTGAAGATAAAAATAGAGATAGACGAATTAGCCTCCCTGACAGTTTGCCCAGTGATATATACTGTGTACCTATCCTCTAGAAGATCATTGTACCTGAGGTTGTGTTAACCCTCATCTTGCTGGTCTTCCAGAAAAGCCTGAAAACTTGGCTTTGCCATATGGTCTGGGGATCCCATGATATGGGAATGAGACCTGCTAAGTGGCTGTATTGCTAGGGAAATGGAATGCGCTCTCCCGCTGGTGTAGGGTGGTTTTTTTGTAATGGTTTTTAATTTTTTTAAAAATTGTTATGGTTTGGGTTACAGGAAGTCCTTGTTTTACAATCACAATTGAGCCCAAAATTTATGTTGCTAAGTGAGACATTTGTTAAGTGCATTTTGCCCCCTTTTAAGACCTTCCCCGCCACAGATGTTAAGTGAATCATTGTAGTTGTTACCTTAGTAACCCAGTTTGTTAAGTGAATCAGGCTTCCCCATTGATTTTGCTAATCCCTGAGGTCACATGATCCCAGGACACCGTAACTGTCATAAGTATGAACTAGTTGCCAAGCCTCTGAATTTTGATCATGTGACCTCAGGGATGCAATGGTCGTAAGTGTGAAAAACAGTCATAAGTCACTTTTTCCATTGCCGTTGTAACTTTGAACGGTCGCTAAATGAACTGTGATAAGGCGAGGACTATCAGTATTTTGTTGTATTGTTTTGGTGTATTTAACTTTGTACGTCACTCAAGAGTTATTTATGTGAGTACCATGGCTAAATGTATGAAATAAAATAAAAACTAGATTGAATAAAAACAGAGCAGTCAATGAAAATAAAAACAGTTTAAAAAACACAATATAATATAGTTCTAGTTCAAACCTCACCTTCATTAGTCTCTGTAAACACGATATAGCTGCAATGCCCTACAAAATAATTCACTTTTCACTACTTTATGGAAGTATGTCCCTGTTGAAATAAGTCTCATTTCTAACAGGACATGGGAAGCTTAACCTTTAGATTCCCACTGAGGTAAATTCTCATATTTTTTTTTTAATTTGATTTATATGCTGCCCTTCTCCGGAGACTCAGGGCGGCTTACAATGTGCTAAGCAATAGCCTTCATACTTTTGTATATTTATACAAAGTCAGCTTATTGCCCCCACAAACTGGGTCCTCATTTCACCTACCTTAGAAAGGATGGAAGGCTGAGTCAACCTTGAGCCTTAGAGAGATTCGAACCAGCAGTAAATTGCAGGCAGCTGTGTTAATAACAGGGTGCGTAGACCACTGTACTATCAAGGCTCTTATAGTGGGTACAGATAATATCTCTAGCTGGGATGAACTCTTTGGATAAGATAACTCTACCAGGAAAAGGCATTCCTGCAGATACCTAGGAGCCAAGCCATTGAGGGCATTAAAAGTCAAAACCAATATTTTGAATTGTATATGGAAACCATAGATAGCCCATGCCGCACCTGCAGTAGCTGTAGCAGCTTGTACTCTCCATCGTTCCAGGGGCTGCATTCCACAGTGGCGCAATGGTTAGAGTGCATTACTGCAGGCTACTTCTGCTAACTGCCTGCTGACTGCAATTTGGCAGTTCAAATCTCACCAGGCTCAAGGTTGACTCAGCCTTCCATCCTTCCAAGATGAATAAAATTAAGACCCAGATTGTTGGGGGCAATATGCTGACTCTGTAAACTGCTTAGAGAGGGCTGTAAAGCACTGTAAAGCGGTATATACGTCTGAGTGCTATTGCTATTCTGTACCAACTGCAGTTTTGAAATAGTCTCTCAAGGTGACCTAGTGGAGATTATATTGTCGTAGTCTATTTTAGGGGTCATATCAGCATGAATTTCCATTGCTAACAGTAGCATACTCATGCATTATAATTTGCTATTCATAAGAAGAAATGGTGGAATAAACAAATTAGTTTTCTCATTTCTTTGATGGAAAATGTAGTGTCTGAATGAATCCATAGAAGCAGTCTTTCAGATTGATTGTAATTATGCAGTGCTTTTCTCTTTTCTATGCCCAAGTTCTGAGCCCAGTGTAGTTTATTTTCCATTGTTGCATCCAAATCAGTTTATGTACAGTATTGATCTGAATTATTCCATCTTTAAAGTCAAATACTTCTGTCTAATACTTTGCATTGTTCATAAAAATGTAGGCAGTATTTTTTCCCAAACGTTTATTGTCACTACTACTACTTTCAGAATTATTCACCCTTGTGTACTTGGGCTTTATTTCATTGATAATATTCAAATACATAGATTGATATTAAATATTAGTAATGCAAACTTATATATTTAATTAGAAGTAAAACACAACAGGATTTATTCCAGGGGTGGTATTCACTTACCTTCGCTACTGGTTTGCAAATGGGAGCACACGCACCACCTCCGCACATGCGCAGGATGCGTAGAGCGTCAAAAACGGGAAATGATTATGTCTAGGTGGGTGGGCGGAGCCTCCTGTAGCCACCACTACCGGTTCTCCCGAACCAGATAGAACCGGTTGAATAGCACCATTGATTTATTCCTACTGTCTTTCCTACTGTCTTTCCCAGTGAAGTAAATCACGCAACAGTTCTTATTTCCAATGGCTTTCCATTTAAAAATTAGATAATTTTTTTAATCACAGATTTAATGTAAGCTAGCATGTCTGAAACACATTGGTAGTTTGAAAAATACCCCACTATTAACCCTTCCTTCCTTCCTTTCTTCCTTCCTCCCCCTTCCCCTCTCCCTCCCTCCCTCCCTTCCTGAAATAAACTTTTTTTTGTCTACAAGAATCTATAGCTGTGATGGCGAACCTATGGCACGTGTGCCACAGGTGGCACACGGAGCCATATCGGTGGGCACGCGAGCTCAGCTCCGGCGTGCATGCGTGCGTTGGCCAACTGATTTTTGGGCCTTCCTGTCCCACCAGAAGTTGGCAAATGGGCCATTTCCAGCCTACCGAGGGCCTCCGGGGGGTGGGGAAGGTCGTTTTTGCCCTCCCCAGGTTCCTAGAAAGCCTCTGGAGCCTGGAGAGGGCAAAAAACGGGCCTACCGGGCCCACCTGGCCATCACGTGCCTAAAACAGGGGGAGCATGGGGGGGTTGCACACATGCACAGGGGGATGGGGAACATAGAATTATGGGTGTGGGCATGTGCATACGTGACCCCCCGCGCTCCCCCCGCTTTTGGCACACGATGGCAAAAAGGTTAGCCATTACTGATCTATAAAATCCAATATTTATTCTTTATTCTGTTGCCAGAAAGCCTAGAGCCTATATTACATAGGCTAATTTGCGTAATATTGGTTGATGTCCTGTATTATGTATGAACACAATTAAAATAATATGTTGCACATTTCTTATCTTAGGAGACTCTGTACTGATTTTTCTTGGATGGATGGAAATCTTAAAAGCACATTGCTAGTAATTATATGGTCTTTCTGTGCTTTCTATTTAACTGTCTTCTCAACTGATTCCTTACTGTTTCCAACCAGGACTATCAACTTGATTATAATTAGCAATCCTGCTGTTTTTCGGTTCCAAGTGTTTGCATGAGAAAAATTGTGGAGGGTGGTATTTTAAATGAATTTCAAAAGAATTAAGATTCCATATACTCATTTTATAAAAAGAGTGAATGGCTGTTTCTAAGAGTCGGAACTTACACAAAATTCCTATTAATAATTTAGGCTTCCATCTTTTTAACTTTTTCAATTTTGTTCTTGTTCTGTTCTTATTGATGTGTGCTTTGGGTTTGTTCCCCATTTCTTCTTCTGTGCAATATGGGAAAGAGACTGCCTTTCCTTCTCCCTCTTTCCAGAATAAGGGCAGCTGAATGCATGAATAGGTACCAAATATCACTTTTTCAACCCTGTTGTGAATGTGTATGTGATGTATTTAAAAATGGTTGTGAATTAGAACTATGTGTCCCAATTTATGGCTCACAAAATTCTTGTGTGTTTTGCTGTTACTGATTGTCTCTGCACTTACAATCATAGCTTTTTATGTTGCTTATTTGGTGTGCTGCTAAGAGATAATTGGCTTATATTTAGACATTGCTGTTTTATGCTATCAGTTACACATGGTGGAGATAGTCTTTCTAGTGGCAGGGTTTGCTGATAACATGACATGTGTTGCTTACTCTAATTGTGTCAGCTTGCTTTCTTTTACCACCAAATGTGGATATTGGCAAAGTTCTGCTTTCTGCTTCTTTAACTAGACTATCAATGAAAAGACTGTTTTAGAGTCCCATCATCTGGAGGAAGTAGTGTGCTGCATTAGGAACCAGTCAGTCTTCATTATGAGTGTATAACCCATCTTAAAATTCAGAAAGCCCATAACCAAAACCAAGCATAATTTATTTATTGTTACTAATACAAGCTTATCAAACGGCTTATCAGATCAGTTATGATTCCTTTGGTCATTCTCACTGTTACTTGGATAACTATGCTAATTCTAAGATATCGGACCAGTACTGACCACGTTGTTGTCGCTAATTGCATAAAAAAATGAAGAGGTTCACATACAATGTCTACACTAAGGAAAGCAGTATTTTTTAAAATAATTTTATCTAAATGAAAAGTAACTCACATTCTGACATTTTCAGTACTAATCTCTAAAAGTAGCATTCACCAAATACTGTACTGCATGTAGTGGGAGATTTGATTCTAGTCAATAAATCTTCTCTTATTTTTTATTTATTTATTTATCTAATTTTGAAACTGCCTCCCTCCCTCACAGAAGGATTCTTTATCACTATGGTTTGGGATAGTTCTCTTTAAGAGTTTTTAGTGGTCTGCTAATGGCTAGACATTTTAATCTCAGCCAACAATAAACTATATGCTTATAAGATAAATCACATTTACATACCATTCAAAAGAGACAATAAAAAAGCTAAGAAGGAAATAAAAAGACCAGAATACATATCTCCCTCAGATACACCCAGATAAACAAGGATTAACACCAGACAAACAATCTAGCAGAAAACAATAACCTAATCAAATAACTACCAAGGAGAAAAATATACCTCAACATGGGTAGAGCAAGCTACTGTATATAAATAGAATGTAAAACCTACCCTCACTAGCACTGACAGTATTACATAGTTCGGTAATAAAACATCTGCAAGCAAATGGCCAAGTCTCAGAGAGAACTCAGGAGCTCACCAACATGTACTTTGATGAGCATTTCAAGAAAATGAGGTGCTTTCAGTTCTTTTGTTTTCATGTATATCTGACCAACCTGAAAGTTGTGTTATATTTACCAAAAAGATAAAAGTAGTTCCTTTTGTCATAGATTTTAATTGAATTCTGCCAATTTATTAGTGCTACTTGCTAGCTTTATTTATTTATCCACACATTTTCTTCTCATGCTAAAGCTCTGTGTTGGATATAGTGTTTCTATAACAAAACAGATTTAGTTGTGGCATTAAGTTCCCTTCCTTGACTTTGCTAATGTGGCATGTATGTAGTAGCATCATAATTTGAACTAATTTGTATGATGTTCCCTTTTGCACTGAGTTCCCCAAAATACTCTGTACTCTGTACTCTGTCCTGTATTTCACTGAATGTTGTGGCTGTCTGCAGCATGGCATGTAAATCAACTGTAATAAGAAACAAATCTTTGTACTTAAGTTGCCCCAAATGTGATGTGATCCAGGGGGTGTTAGCTATCATTTTTAAAAACTATATTGCACACTAACATAGTGTATTCAAAGCGGTCATAACCATTTTCAGTAACAATTTTATAACAATTTTATATTTTAATAAAAATAAAAACTAACTCTTTAAAAATATTCATTCTAATAAAAATTGATAGTATTAAAGATTTTTAATTTTCTTCTTCTCAATATATTCTTTACACAGCAATCTAATATTTATAATTTCAGACAAAGAATGAGAAAACATAAACTCTGCTGGCCTATGAGTGTAATTTTTGCTGTCCATTTCCTTGAGATAAGGGGAATGTTATAAAACGTTAAGTTGTTGATACAAAGGCCAGAAACAAGCTGTGGCGTCATTGAAATTGTATGGGAAAAAAAAACCGACATGTTTATCCTATTACACAGAAACATTACTGTAGTGATTTTGATGGTACCACCTTATATTTTGTAACACAGGCCATATTGATTTAAAACATTTTGCAATTTAAATAGCTGTTGTACTTTCAAAAGCATGGGATTTTCTCCTTCAACATCTCTCTCTCTGTTTACAGGCTGTCCATACAGGCATGAGGGCTTATATATATAATAAGAGTTCTGTTATTGGCTCTCAGGCAGAGCATTCAGGGATGCGCACATACTACTTTAGTGCAGATACTCAAGAAGATATGAATGACTGGATCCATGCTATGAATCAAGCTGCTCTTATGCAAATCCATTTTTCACCAAAGAGGCAAGTTCACATGTGTATGTGTGCGCGCGCATGCATCAGGGGAGGGTTCTACTTACCTTTACTACCGGTTTGCAATGGGAGCGGACTTCTACGCATGCACAGATTGTTCATTATGACATCTGGGCGGGTGGGCAGAGCTTCCCGACGCTTTTACTACCAGTTCACGAGAAGCAGACAGAACCTGGAACAACCCACCACTGATGTGCATGCACACGTGTATATGTATATGTAACTGGAGTGGTATGGTGGCCTACAATGGAGCTCTCGCCTCACAATCAGGAGGCTGTGAGTTCGATCCTAGGTAGAGGCAGATATTTCTCTCTCTGGACCCAATGAGAATATGTATAGAGATTCTGTAGTCCTGATTGCTTGTTCCGCATTATTATTCCAAAGTCCTTGCGTTGCCTTTAAAATGATCAGTCAAAAAGTAAGCAGTAACAGGAGCTATCTTGAATGTAGTGGTGATAGGACAACACTGAGTAACTTTACTCACTTTTCTTCCTTCCTTGTCAAATAAATAATTGCATGGGCCAGTGGAAAGCAGATTTCCTGTTTAAAGATTAAAGGCACTGGGTAGAAATTGGGAGACTGTGAGTTCTAGTCCCAACTGGGCATAAAGTCAGCTGGGTGACCTTGGTCCAATCATACTCAGCCCTAGGAAGGAGGCAAGGGCGTAGCACATCTGAAAAACCTTGCCAAGAAAACTTCAGGGACTAATTTATTCAAAAATTACAAAAAAAAAAAAAAGAGAGAGAGAGAGAGAGAGAGAAAGAGAGATATTTTAATAATTGATAGGAAAGACTACATTTTATAATATGTTAATTATTCTAGTCCAGGGGTGTCAAACTGGCAGCCCAGGTGCCAGATGCATCACGTGCAGGCCATGCCCACCCCAGCTCCGCGAAAGGAAAAAAATGTTGAGAAATGTCACATGACAACAATGTGATGCCACAAGTTTGACACCCATGTTCTAGACTTATCATGTCTAATGTATATGCATATAGAAAATATATATTTCTATATTTCTATATGCATATCTCACTTCTGATCTCACCTTTGGTCCCCAAATGTTAGGCTTGTATATCATGCTAATAGACTGTGCTACTCTTCTACACGTTGATTCTTTTAGCCATTGCATTGCAACTGGCAAAGTTACAAGGAAATTTGAGACTTCTAAAACTTATATAAAACTAAAATAATTATAAACATTTTAAAAACTCTATTTTGATATGAAATTGTCAATTTCATGAGATTTTGAGGGGGTTTAAAGGTGAGGAATTAAAAGGCCTGGGATCAGAAAGTATTAACAGCCTCTGCAATAAAACAAAAACTGTTCATTTAAACTATAAAATCTGAGCAAACGTAAGTGATTCAAAATGCTGTGCTAACTTTAGTGTCTATGGATTTCTTTTTTCTTTAGAGGAACAGAAAAAACAGATCAGCAAGCTGTCCCTCAAACTAATCATATTGATGCCTACAAAGAAGCTACAAAGTTAGAACCTGCTGATGCAAAAAGACGCTACAGAAAATCACCCGAAATGTCTGCATATGGCAAACATGAAGAAATGAAAAAAGTAAGAGATGATGAACACTACACTGCAAGGAAGAAGGCTGTGGATTCCAAATGGGAGAAACCTAAACAACTATTAGAACCTGGTGGAACACCGAATCCCGCATCAAGTTTCTCTCGGCCTCAAGCAACTCAGACTCTTGAGAAGAATGGAATCCCTCCAAGTTCGTTAAATGCAGGTCCAGTAGAGCAGAATGGTATCAATGTCTATAAAAGAGGCTTTATTCCCAGATCAACACAAAATAAGGAGACACAAAGGAAAAGTAATCTGACTCATGTAGAACATTGGGTAAAAGTCCAGAAAGGAGACACAAAAAGGTTAGTAAGCTAGGACTGTTTGTTCTATATTTCACTATTTTAAAGTAGAGGTTTGGTACTTTTCTTGATTCCCCCAGTTAATATTCCTGATTTCCTAATTTTCTTTTCTAGCACAATTATATAGGAGCAGCAACAACATAGAGCCTTTCTTGAAATAAAATCTTTCTTGGAATTTAGGAATTAGAATGTGCAGACCAGTGTAACTCCAACCTATCTTGAGTATGATATATATTCATACAACATTTAATTTGTCTGGTTTTTTTTTCACCAAATAGTTTTAAAAAGAACAATTCAGAACGGTAAGTGTTATATAGATTTTGGATGCAAATTCTACAGAAAGGAAAGTGGTAGTCATAGGAAATACCTATAAAACTAGATTGGGCATCACATTATAGAGAAAGTGATATTTCATCTTATGAAGTCTAGAAAATTGGATGGGAGAAAGAAGTTTCTAAAGGTCGGGTTGAAAAATCAGAACTATGAACGTTTCCAATCTCCTATCTAACTGTTTATCAAGGATCTCACAGATTGAGCAATTACTGAGAAAAGAAGATTATGTTTTACCTTTTCAATCCATTTCCGGCTTTCTATATTTTATAGCCTTGTAGACCATAACTTTGGTCTAAAATATACATTTGTGTTTATTGAGGCAGTTGATAATTTCTGTCCATTCTTATTTGTATTCTTCTGTAATTTCATTTTGGGCAAGTGGTCATGCTTACCACTCATAATCACTGTATAGTGTTGATTGCAGTCAGTCAAGATTTTTCTCTGAAAACATGACAGAAAGTTAACCATCTATTAATTGTCTAAAAGGTTAGACTATATAAATTTATGATTTATCATACTTTTTAATTTTTTGTATTGAACTATAAACAATAACTCACATGACGCCGGGTAATAAATTTATATATTTACAATTCAACAGCAACTTCAATTACTTTCTTCGTTTTTGGTGAACATCGTAGTTTAGAAATACCTTCTGCAAGATTAGATCAATGTAAATAAATAATTATATATACGTAAGAGGCCTTTCTCCACACTTAAATTCAGTGTATTTATATTGATTGAGTATTAAGCTCTGAAATTTCTTTTTTTCAACTTGAGTTGATGAAATATTTTGATGAATGGTATACTCCACCACCTAGTGGTAAGTGTTCCTGGTGAATGAATACAAAAATGTAGTGACTGCTAACAATTTTGTTGTAGTTACATTTTAAAAAAAAAATAATGGAGGGACTTCCTATGGATTATACACTCTGGCCCATTGTTATCTATATTCCAAAATTTGCAAAAATCCATCTACCAAAATCTGTTCTAAATTTCAATTTTGTAAATGTTTTTAATAAGAGTTGCTTTTTGCTTAATCCCTAACAAAGCCACTTTCTTACAGTCTTGCATCTGACCAGACTCTTACTCGCCAAGTACCAAGCCATTCTGTATCCTTTCCTGAAAATTATCATACTTTGCCAAAGAACACTAGGCAATCTTCTGGAAGCTCCCCTCCCTCAAATCGTGATTTGCCAAGTGACTACAAATATGCTCAAGACCGGGTTAGCCACCTGAAGATGTCCCATGATGAGAGAAAAGCTAACAAAGATGGTACTGTTTGGCAGCTGTATGAATGGCAACAAAGAAGGCAGTTTAAACACGGGAGCCCAACTGCACCTCTTTATATTAGTTCTCCAGACTTTACAGATAGTAGTAAAGGAAGAAGTTCATTAGAAGTTCCACGTTCGGTTTCGGTTCCCCCTTCCCCATCTGAAATACCTCCACCAGGACCACCTAAAGTTTTTATATCACGAAGACCACATACACCTGCAGAAAGGGTTACTGTCAAACCATCTGAGGAGAGACAAACAATAGACGTTCCTTTTGTCGGCTCACCAAGGAAGATTCGAAACCAGACTGTAAAAGTGAGTAAATAGAAAAAAACCTGTTTTTTCTAGTTTACTAATCAGTTAATTTAAATTAAATTAAATTACCATGCTACATAATCCTCAGATTATCTGATAATTGGGTACTGTAAAGTTGTATGTTATCTACTGCCACTTTCTTATTAAGGTCAGATTATGTAGCATGTAGCTAATTTTAGGTTTAGAGAAACAAGATTCATGGGATATGGGCTTTAATTCCTCATTAATCTAAAGTTATCTGAATGGGAACCAGATATTGTCACTTCTTGAGAGACAGAAGGGTGAGCACACTGCACAATTATAAAAACGTTACATTTAATCTCATTGATTTCAATAAATTGTCCAGGTGTAAACTTTTGAAAATATAGCTCATTGAATCAAGCTTTTAGAACAAAAATATTTGTTATTAAGCAAAAAGTTTCTACAGATAGTTCTTTAAACAGACATACCATGTAAAAAAAATTAGTGACTATGTCACTTTGTAAAAAGATATAATACTCATATACAAAGATAGAAAAAGTGCATATATTGTAAAAAAAAAACATGTTATGTTAATTAACAAATTAATATTTTCTTGTTTAGGAAGAAAGTTGTATAAATCAGTTCAGGACACAGAAGCTAGGAACTCTAAAGTGTAAAAGAATAGAAAAATATTTTCCCACTTGAAATGTCTCTTTAATGCTGCCTTTCAATTTATACAGAACTCTCTACACATAGATAGACGTTCCATGCCTACAATGGGATATATGACCCATACTGTAAGTGCTCCAAGTTTGCATGGGAAATCGGTAAGCATTGGCTATATACGTTTCCTTGTCTATGTACTAATAGATTCCGATAGAACTTCTAAGGTTGTCTGAATCTTTATTGATTTTTCATGTCATGTTTATGGTGCCCTTTTTCATTGCTACTGGATTATTAAACAGAACTGTAAATAAAATTCCAGTAGAGGGATTGGCCCTATTTTGAGTCTTGTGACATACATTTTTAGCCTTCAAGCAAAAGTAGAAAAATATAGCTGCTCGGTCATGTCAGATAAACATTTTTATTGTGGCATGTTAAGTGAAGATTTTTAACTATGTGATTCTCCCTGAAAACTGCTAATTTCCTCTTTGCAATGTGTCCAAATACCTGCAGCCTGAAGAGCTAACATTGCTTCTCATTCGATTAAGGAGACATCAGGCTAAGTTGACTCATATACGAAATTACACAATCGCCCAATTACTACAGCACTTGCCAACCAATTCCACTTATCAGGTCAGCTGCTGATTGGCTCATCTGTGCTGCATATGATGTTCTGTGACTCTGCAAGTGCTTCACTGGTGCCATGCTTGAGTCCGTGCTTCCTTGCCCATTCTTCCGTCTGTTCAAGTCCCTGGATCATTCATAATTTTACTTTGCTCCTGCGTGCAAATAATTATCAGCATTTTTATACTATAGGGGCTGTGGCATATGAGTAACTGCATTTTGGCTGTTATTTTGCTTCAGTGTTACTTTTGTGAATGCTGTGTTATGTTCTAAAACAAAACATATTTAAAAAGTAAGTTATTGTTTTGTAGATTCATCTGTTTTGGCTTTAAAAAACGTAAGCCTTTCTGATAATTTACAGTGGAAGTCAACATTTATCACATCCTGCTTTTTTTTTCTCTTCCTCAGTCATGTATTTTAACAATGAGGAAAGGTCTAAATACACAAGGATAGTTATATATTGGATAGTTATATATTGTACTTACCTGAAAGGATGGTGGCCCTGAATTGTAGACATTCCCACCAAAAGTGAGAGTGCAAGTTGTCCTTGACTTACAACCATTTATTTAGGTACCATTCAAAGTTGCAAAAGTACTGAAAAAAGTGAGTTATGGCCAATTGTCACACTTATGACTGTCACAGGAGCCCCATGATCACATGACTAAAATTTGAGCGCTTGGCAACCAGCATTTATTTACAACCGTGGCAATGTCTTTGAGTTGCATGGGATTGCCTTTTGCAACCTTTCCAGCTGGCTTCAGACAAAATGGGGGAAGCCAGATTCTCATAATGACGGTGACAAAAAAAGGTTGTAAAATTGAGCATGGTTCATTTAACTGATTTGTTTAGCAACAGAAATTCTGGTCCATTTATGGTTATAAATTGAGGACTGCTTCTAGGCATATTATGCACCCAGGCAAAACCCTGCAGAGTATCCAACGTCTTCACTATGTCAATCTGGGGTGGCCAGTGCTAGTTGAAGCTAATCTTAGAGATTTCCCGTGGGTGGGACGTGTGTGTGTGTATGTGTGTGTGTGAAGGCACACTCCAAAAAATATATTAGCTAAACTAATAACTTCTTATTAGAAATATTTGCCTGTAAAATAAGGTACCAAATTTTTAAAATTAATTGATTGTCTGTTATCATTCATTTCTGCTCATACAGATTTCCTCCCTCATAATATTATCTTATCCAGAAATACTCTATCAGAAGCCATATTCCCAAAAAAAGCAGGAACAACATTTATTTATTTATCAAGTTTCTATATCTTGTCTAGTGCCTGAGACGTTTACAAACAACACAATAAAATAATATAAAAATGTAATTAAAAATACAAGTGAAACCAAAATTAAAAGCAAGGTTAAAATTTGCAAGTTAAGAATAAGAGTCAAAGTTAAAAAATTCACAAAACTAAAAGGTTAATAAGGCAGTGAGAGTGCCCTCATGCCACCAGCCATCGCCAGAGTTGCATAGCACGCTTAGACACCCATGTTTATTGGCAGAATCAGAACTTAACACTGGGGGCTCATCTCACCTCTGGGAGTAGAATTTGAATATTTGTAATAAGGCATATTTTTTTAAAAAAATATTATGATTTATCGGATTGTTGTAAACTGCTGTGGGCCAGTTTTCCTAGGAGTGTTACAATACATAAATATTATAAACTAATATATATGTATATTAATTGAAATAAAAATTACATCTACATTTATAAAATATGCATTTGCAAATGGTAAAGTTTACATTTGCCTTTGAAAATTATATTTGCAAAATTAAATGATCCACACCAGCATATAAAAGTAAAAACAATTATTGCTTGCACAATACACATACAATCTTCTCTTCCCTTGCAGATGATAGAGAAAATTAGGATGGCAATAGAATAGAAGCAAATTAACTGTTCAGGAAAGGGAAAGGGAAGGGAAGGGAAGCGAAAATGGTGGACCAAAACTAAGCAGAGATAAGGCAAGTAAAGAGATAACTGGATAGTGAAGGGAAAAAAGAGAAGCCCATTATTTATGTTTCACAAAGAATTTGAATTCAGTAGAGAAGTGTTCAAACCAATCATTAAAGATACCTGGTGGTTACTGATATTTGCATCTTTTTCATTTCTTTGATTTCAACAATTTAATAATTTAAAATTGTTGAAACTAAATCAGCAAATATAAAATGACCGATTTATAATATTTATTTGGAGAAAAAAACTTTCCTTTGCCTCTTGGATACATATGGTATATTTCAGAATTATGTCGTTTCTTCATGTATATATTGGTGGTTCTTTTGCATCAGAAACCAACTGCAATTTAACACAGAGAAGTTTTCATAAGAGTTTCACATAGTTGCTATTTATGTAAAGCAAGGAATGTCAGTTTGAAGTTTGACCTAAATAAATTATACAGAAAATGTCAGTCATCTTTCATAATTACTTTTAGAGCTGTACAATGCTTCGGATTCATTTTAGATATGGCCTCCCTAAATATTTCCCACTGAAAATGCCCAAGAAGATTCTGCTTCTTATCTTATTATTTATATGGTTACCATTCTTCTTTCTATGTAGAATATAATTTGGGTATTTTCTTGGGGCAGGCTTGGTCCTATGTTGGCATTATTATGAAAGACATCTTCCCTCCTTTTGCCTTTCCACGTTTCTATGGATTTTTTTTTTTCCTATCAGAAACTAAGCTAACTCCTAGTCTCAGTTTCTACTTACCAGCTAACTAGAACAAAATGTCTATTTGGCTTGCAGGGTGGCTCTGTTTCAGGATGTTAATGAGCAACAGTGGTTGTCACTAGACTGTCCATTTTTAATATGCTCAGACAGTAACTCGGTTCTTTTGGTTTAATATTATAAAATTAACCCGAGGGAAAACGTATGTTTTAAATAATGAACGTAACTATGGTGTCACTTGATGAATTTAAGTAGTCTAACATTAAATCTTAACTCCTAAAAGTAACGTTTTTAAAATAATTTCAGATGTGTGGATTTATATAATACTGCATGTTAACCAATTTATTAGCTTACAAGTCTTTATTTTTGAGTGTTTGCTTCCATTGATTGACTTGTTCACCTCATTCAACTATAACTATCACTTGGAAAAGCTAAGAACAAAGTATTCTTCCTTGCTGGATAGTTTTCATTTATGTTCAATCAGATCTGAGCTGCAAAACTTCAAATGATCATAAACAGCAGCAAAGAGAAACAGAAAACTTAATATTCTTTGCTGCCTTATAGTGATCATCAATATTTTTTCACACCAGATATACCACTTGAATATATAGATTTTTGCAGAAACTTCTAGACATATTTGATAAACAGAGTCTTGTTATGCAGTAAATTATATTTTACTATTGTGGTATCTTTTTATTTGCAGGCTGACGATACCTACATCCAGCTGAAGAAAGACCTTGAATATTTGGATCTGAAGGTAAAACATATCCACATAAAATGTCATTCTAGTAATATTACTTTTTTCATTTTTTTCCAGATATACTTCCCTAGTGGTTTATGTAATACGGTTGCCTTATAAGTCACTTGTTAATTAGATTTCTTTTGTGCATAGCTAGAATAAATTACAAATAAAATATACATGGTAAAATGAAAACAAAACTCAATCTGTTTCTTTCAGTGAGATCCAGGAAGTTCCTCTTCCTCTTATTACCAGGAGGATAGATTTCTGGAGGGTTTTGGATTTTTTTGATCACTTCCCTCTTCAGTTGTCCCCTTGAACTAGATTTTTAGATAGAAATGCCACAAAGGAAAATAAGAAAGCATTCCACTTCCAGTTGTCTAAATCCAATCCACAGTAATTTTCTTTACAAACTAAATCTGTAATTTCCTAAGAGGGCAAAATAATTACAATTCAATTAAAATTATAATTAAAAGTTTAATGTTGGCATACAATCTTAAACAAATGTGCTCTAAATATAAAAGCATCTTTCTTTACTTACCAGGCATGTGGAAAAAGGAGCAGCTGCTCTCTGCTACTTTATGTTAGATTGGACATGTGAAAGTCATGTCTAAAGATGGCTAGTGATTGCTGGATGCCTTCTAGCAGTAGAATGTCTAAACAAAATAGAACTGTCCCCCATCCCCTGGTCAGTATTTCTAGGGGCAGGAAGACAAATTAGAAAAAGTGTGATAACATCACACAGTGGTTGCAACTTAGATATATATTGGCATTAGGATGCAATTACCGGTATACAATCACAGCATTTTTGTGGTGATGTAACAAGATACTGGGAACGCCATCTGTGGTTTATTCAGTGTTACTTGCATAATAGAACCTTTGCTTTGCTTTTCCCAAGCAAGCCAATAATTGGAAGTTAAAAACAAAGCCCTAACTTCTGGGTTTGGTTTATTAGAATAGAATAAAGTGATCCTGGGACATATATAATGTTAAATAAAGCATAGAAAAGAACACCTGTTGGTTTTTCACTTAGTTCAAAAATTAACAACGTCTTTTTTGGGGAAGAATTCTATTTTTTCCTCCCTTTTCCAAGTGCCATGGGGAAGAGAGTATAGCAAAGCAGTCAGTTCCTTGATCTCTTTATCCATTGCGGAATTCTGGTATTAATTTAAAGGAAAATAAAATCTGCAGAGCTTTGATGCATTTTTTTGTCAATTGCTACCACATTTTTATGTTTTGCTGCTGAAATTCAAAAGTATGATTTATGGGGTTCTGGGGTCATAGGAATAAGGGATAAACTAAACATCACACAAATCTTAACTATAGTAAGGTATGCAAAATAGGTAAAGCAGTGAATAACTTACTATTAGAATCTCAGTATAATGACTTTCTTTCATATATGAAAAAAAAAGCCTATATTGGTTTTAGGACATTTTGGGTTTCACCTCTGTTTTTTATTATGCCCAGTAGTATTCAGAAAGGTAATAAAACTCTTAGAATGGTATATTTAATTAAAAAAAAAAAGAATTCCATTAAGAATCTACTACCATATTTGAAGTTTCTGAACGTGTCTCAGATAAAAAACTTGCAATAAATCATTCTGGAGGTTGCCAAGACATAGGTTACATTTAAAAGATCATCTTTCCCCAAGAGGAAATAATATGGCACATTTTTTAAATAAAAAGTGTTAGCTAACCAGAGACTCTATTTGGGTATCAATTTCAGGGTCAAATTTAATTGTGCACTCAGGCTGTGAATCTGGTATCTTAAAGGAATTTCTGTCCCACAGCATTCAGACTAAATGCCATCTTAAATCTGTCATATTAGATAAAATAAGGTCTCTACATCATGTGAATTTTTAAAATGGAATCCGTCTGTACAGATTTTTGTTCCAGATTTTTACCAAGATGAAATTAGGAAGTGTCTCTGAGAAGTTAAGTTCAACTTCAGTTGTTTCAGAGAAGCATCCATGTATTTTTCTTGGCAACCAGATCTGATCTTTTCTAGCTTTTCAACAGAATCCAGAGTTGGCTGGGTGCTGCATTAAAGCTACCAGACTTCATTATTATTTATTATTATTTATTCAATTTATATACCGCCCTTCTCCTATTGGACTCAGGGCAGTACACAGCCAAGGATAAAAAACATACCAATACAAAATTTAAAATCAATTAAAAGAATTATACAGCTTTGGCCCACAATTTAAAGCAATCCAGTTAAAATCCAATTTACACTTAAAAAGCTAAAAAGAGCTAAAAAGGGGGGGTGGGGTTCACGCCAGCCCTGCTTGATGGAAAAGAAAAGTTTTTAGGGCACGGCGAAAGGCCTGGAGATCTGGTATCCTTCGTATCTCCAGGGGCAAATCGTTCCAGAGGGCAGGTCCTGCCACAGAGAAGGCCCTCCCCCTGGGGGTCGCTAGCCAACATTGCCTGGCTGACGGCACCCTGAGGAGTCCCTCTATATGGGAGCGTACTGGTCGGTGGGAGGCTATCGGCGGCAGAAGGCAGTCTCGCAAATACCCAGGTCCGATGCCATGGAGCGCTTTAAAGGTGGTGATCAACACCTTGAAGCGCACCCGGAAGACCACTGGAAGTCAATGCAGCTCGCGCAGGAGAGGCATCACATGGGAGCGCCTTCTTGCTCCCATAATCCCCCGCGCGGCCGCATTCTGCACCAGTTGGAGCCTCCGGGTGCTCCTCAAGGGGAGCCCCATATAGAGAGCATTATCTTGATAAATATTTCTGAAATGATACAAGCTCATGACTCTGTTTAGTTTTCATACAGGAAAAAGCAAACTAAAGTAAAGACCAAAAAAAAAAAAAAAAGCCTTCCCTTGGCAATCCAGATTTTATTAAAATGTTTTGTATGTATTTTTATATAGGAATGGTATTCTATTTTACAGTGTACATTTTTGCTTTCTGTATGATTTTAGAACATTTCTAAATTCTAAGGCTGTAGTAGTTTGGGAATCCAGGGGATAGAGGAGTATCTGAATAATAACGTTGGATGACTAAGAGAATCTACTCATCCTTTTCAGAGGTTATATAAAAATGAAAAATAGATTTTAGAGTCTTATCTATGATATTCTGAAAGATTCTGTTAGATGTTAAGTATCTTGTAGTATCCTTACACCACATCAAGTAGTGGAGTGGAAGTTCAAATACTTATTTCTAGGATCTGTGATGCCTTGGATTGGATGCTTTAGGTTAGATTTCTGTCTTATTCTGCATAGTTTCAGTTTACCTTGGATATTCATAGGAAAAATTGGGTAAGGTTGCCCAAATGTCATTTATTTTGGGGTGAATAATCCGGGGTTCCATTTGCAGCTATATTACATAGGTTTACTTGTATCATCTAGTATTTTCAAAGTAAAAAACAAGTACAGTTTGTAAACGTTGAACAAGTTTAAAACTTTTTAGAATTCAATAGATCACTCTGCTTGCATTTAGAATAAAATTTTCATGTAGTTATTATAAATCTTTCATGTAGGTCTTACCACATAAGTTTAGGATTTCAGCATTGTTTTATTCAGAGAACAGCACAGGATAAGAAAACAAGCCTTTGTCCTCCTCCTTTCTTCCTGCCACCTCAGTTTATGATAATGATGATTATTATTATCATCACGTCCTATTCTAAGCACATTGGGCTACACGCATTCTCCACAGTTCTCAGTCCTCAGCTACAGTGTCTGCATCCTTTCATTCAAGGTTGATGTTTTTTATGATATGCATCATGAAACTGCAGCAAGGAAAAAAATGATGCTAAAAAAATCATACCATATTCTGATTTCTCTGTTTTCATAGACTTCTGATGCCAGCTTTACCTCTGTAACAAGATATCTATATGTAAATTTTGTTTGAAACAGATAAAAAATAATGGACCTCTGATCAACATGATTTACAAAGTGCTAAAGAGCTCAGCGCAAGGGTTACTATCCAGTATAAATGTAAGAGTGCTTGTAACAGAAATGTAATCATTCCATTGCTTTTCGAGTGGCCGTCGGTGTTGAAATAGCTAAGCATTCACAGGTGTCTCATGACATATATATAACACCAGAGCTTTTTGCAAGTTGTGTGATTTGGGGAGGCTTTCTGCAATATTATTGGCTGGCCTGATAGTGCTTCGTTTCATTTTATCATGTGTTGGGAACTAATGTTGGTGATTCCATTTCTACCTTTACAGAAATACAAAGCATGCCCTTGTGCTTTAATTTTGTTGCCTTCACAATGATGTAATTTTACATGTCTCAGTATTGGATATAATTGCATTTTCCCCCTTCAGTTTAATGTGTACCCTAGGTTTGGGAAAGGTTTTGTTGCCTGCACACTTGTTGTATTGGTTGTATCAATTATATTCTGTTATGTCAATATGTATGTTTCAATTTTTTGCTTAATTTAGAAAGTCTTAAAAGTACAAAATATTTTAAGCAAGAGTTTTAAAAACAGTACTTTATCACAATGAAAAGCATTCGGTCTAGTTATTTACAAAAGGCAATAAGCCTTCCTGCATTTGATAATCTGGCTTCCGTTTTATCAGTTTACAATGATGGAAACTTGAAGATGGAGCTGGGACAGATAGTCATGAATGGTAAATAGAAATAATAGTATTAATACTAGTATTTAAATAACAATTTCTGAATGTCCAAAGCATTTTACATACATTATCTCAGTAGTTTCAACAGACTTCTAAGGTGAGTTTAGCATTATTACATTAGCTATATCATTGCAATCCACAGGTAGTAATTTCTGAAGACTCAAATTAATGAGTGGAATTAATTTTGAACTGATGATTTCCCAGCTTCCCACTCATGTATTTCTTTTCTGCTTCCTGAAGAACGAATAGAATTTTAAAATCCTTTGTTTACCACATGATGGTTAGTTCCTTGAATGAGTTTATGTGATTCTGTATAATCTTAATTGAGTTATGGAAAAAATGTTAGCTACAGTTTTAGAATAAAATAAAAAAACATTAAAATTATCAAAATGAAATACTCTGCAAAGTAGTGTAATATCTAGATCTGTATTCTGTATAGAAAAATGCAGGTAAGTTTTGCCTGACTGCCATGTTTAAGAACTGAGAAGCATTTCCAACAGAGGCACCAGTTTTATTATAAGCCTCTTGGTTTATAAGCTGAGTTAAAATAACATTACATGATGATATGGTTATCCCTTTGCCAATGATTTTATTTTTCTGTAAGTCACATAAATTCTCAGGAAAATTGTAATGATAATAAGAACTTATTTCAACTTATATCACTTCCCATCTCAAATATATTATTATTAAAAGCAATATTAAAACTATGTAAGAAAACAATATAACACATTTCATAACTAATGTATAAAACCATTCAACAACACTCAACATAACCATTGTACAAGTTTGATTGCGCATTCAGATAGCAAAGCCTAGTGACAAAACCATGTCTTTAAGATCATGTCTAATCTCATCTCTGAGAAGATGATGTTTCAAAGGACGGGTATCACCATAGAAAAGGATCTCTACCTGAACCCCACCCATTGGCATTCCCTAACAGACAGAACTGGGAGCATGCAAATGCATATTGTAAATACAAGTTGTACAATATGAAAATTTGCCATATTGAACGCAACTAAATTTAAAGGAACCTCTTAGATCTAGCATTTGCCCATAACATACATTTGGATCAGGACTGATAAAGAAAGATATATATATATATATACCTTTTAAAAATCTTTAGCTAATCCAGGAAAGCATGCCAAATCATTCCTAGAAGGAGAAAAACATTTTTTGCAGAGAAAAGGATGGGTTTTTTTTTTTTTTTTTGCTATTAACATTTTATGGCTTCCAGATTTTTACTTTTAAATCTTTATATTTTAGATGACGGGGCGTGATACAATCAAAGAACGACATGCAAAACCCATCAAAATTGGAGAAAGCGATATTGATGTAAGTATAAGGTTTCTTCTTTCTGAGCCTTGCAAAATCTCATTTTGTTTTATTGATTTGACCTTGTGTGCATATATATTTTTATTTCTAGGTAAAGCTGAGTGTCTTCTGTGAGCAAGACAGGATTCTGCAGGATCTAGAGGACAAAATAAGAGCCCTTAAAGAAAATAAAGTAATCATATTTGCAATTAATTGCACCATCTTATTTTTGTAATATTCTGTTTTGGGGTTTTGATAACTGAAGGCCCATTTTGATTTTTGAGTATGTACTAAGTAAAACTAGAATTAGATCTTTGTAACTATACAGTTTATGATATAATTTATTCTAATAAATTATTCCAATTTATTCCAAGCCAAAAGTAAGTAATTGTAGGAGATGACTAGGCTGAGTCCGAGAGAGGGTCAAATGCATCATCAGTCATTAGTCTCTGAGCACCCACAAGACATCTAAATCCAGCCCACCTTGAATTCCTTTCTATTCTTAACTCCCGCTAATTTCCCTAGACCGTTAGTTGTTCAGATTCTTGTAGAGAGCTTAATCTTGCAATAAATCTTTATAGTCTTTTGAACTGCCAGAATCTCCTGATTTCCCTGGTGCTTGACAGCAACATGATTACATTCAAGTTACTTATTTCATAACTTTTCTCTCATTTTAAAGATTAATTTCTTATAGAGTCTATATTAAATTCTTATAGAGTCTATATGCAATTCTTGTTTGTTTTAAATAACTTCCCAACTGGAAGGACACATTTTTAAAGAGTGTAGGAAAATACCTGAATGATGCCAATATATCTATCCTCATTTTCATCTTCCTAGTTTACAGAGAGCTGAATTTCAGAAAAGTTGAGGGTATCGTCTCTGAAAGGAATTTTCAAAGCTGGGTGCACTCATTGAAAAACTTTATTCGTGGTCTCAGTTAAACATATATTTGGGGTTCTTAAAGTCCACAAAATAGCCTCAGAAGACTCCTGTAGAAAGAGGAAAGATTTGTACTAGATGTTTTTGTATTAAATTGTTCACACATATATTAAATGGTACCCAGAAACAAACTGTATACTCCATCACCATTAACAAATTCATTAATTAACAAATTCATTAATATTCCCAATACTCTTTGGGAAGTCTCCCTAAATAAAATTAATTGCAGTCATTGAGATGTGATGTATATTATGCAGACTAGGTCTTTTTTCCCCCAGAGATATAATAGTTGAACAAATTTTCCTCACCTTCAGTATCCAAATCCAAGACTGGGTTTGAAGAATTTATTTATTTATTTATTTGGCAGTATTTATATGTCACCCTTCTCCCGAAGGACTCAGGGCAGTGAACACAGGTTAAAAACATACAATGATAAAATAATAAAATCCCGTTAGAATACAAGATCTTTGGACCTTGAGATAGATGGATGGGTGAAAAGAGGGAGACATAAAGGCTCCAACCCTTTGGAATGAACTGCCCCCTGAGATACGATTTTTTTTTTTAAAATATCCCTGATCTCCGTGCTTTCTGCCGTGCCCTCAAAACCCTGATGTTCCAACAAGCGGGGCTAAACATATGAACATGTGAATGTTTTTAAAATGTTATCTAATTTTAGGTTCTATTTAATTGGGCCAAACTATGTTATAATAATAATTTTAATTAGCAATTTTATGATGTTTGTGTATCTATATTTTTCTTGACTGTACACCGCCTTGAGTCCTACGGGAGAAAGGCGGTATAGAAATATAATAAATAAATAAATAAATAAAATAAGCAGGTAGGCAGGCAAACAGACAGATACATTTATATTTGGGGTAGAAAATTAATATTTTTAAAACACTAAATTAAAGGAAGGTCTTCTAAAATTTTCTAAAAATTTTCTTGTACACAGTTTATTTTTTTTTTTAAATGTTTGAAATATTTTCTTTAGGATCAGCTGGAATCTGTCTTGGAAGTATTACATAGACAGATGGAACAATATAAAGACCAACCACAGCACACAGAAAAAATTACATATCAGCAGAAACTTTTGCAAGAAGATCTCATACGTATTCGGGCTGAAATATCCAAAGTATCTACAGTAAGTAGAAGGTGCTTTAAGAATTAATTTAATATATAAACCTATTTTCCATATCAAGCCTACTGAAACTGCATGGCAACATAGTTTGGTGGTTGATGAAGTAGGATTGGTGAACTATGAAAAACCATTTTCTCACCCTTCCCTTGCCAAAGACCCGGGTGAAGAGCCAGGTCTTTACTGCTGTTCTGTAGAACAGCAGAGTGGGGGCCAACTGGATTTCGGGAGAACCTCGTTTCAGAGGCAGGCACTTCTAAAGAGAGGATATACTTTCAGAGTACAAATAGATGACATTGTTTCATTGAAAGAATTTGGGTGAAATTCAGCAGGTTCTAACAGGTTCTGGAGAACCAGTAGCGGAAATTTTGGAGTAGTTCAGAGAATCGGCAAATACCACCTCTGGCTGGCCCCAGAGTGGGGTGGGAATGGAGATTTTGCAATATCCTTCCCCCAGGAGTGGGGAGGAAATGGAGATTTTGCAGTATCCTTCCCCTGTCATGCCCACCAAGCCACGCCCAAAGAACCGGTAGGGAAAATTTTTGAATTTCACCCCTGATGCTAACCCTGCAAAATTGGCTGGACAGATATGTGGGAGATAGCCATACCAGGCCCTATGCCATGTAGTGCTTTATAGGTAATAACCAATATCTTAAATTACAACCAGAAACAAACTGGCCAGCAGTGGATCTTACAAAGAATAGGTATTACATGGACATACTGAGAATGCCCATCACTACTTATGCTGCTGCATTCTGGACCAGTTGAAGCTTCTGGGTGCTCTTCAAGGACAGCCCCATATAGAAGCGTATAGCAGTATTCAAGCCCCAAAATGACTAAGCATGAGTGATTGTCTGAAGAGCTCCCTGATCTAGGAAAGGACAAAACTGGCACAACAGATTAAGCTGTGCAAAGGCTATCTGGCTACAGCTCCTCTCCAAGTGGAACTGCGAGTCCAGGAAGATTCCTAGATTGCACACTAACCTTGAAGGGGTAAGTGCTATCCCATCCAAGGTCAAAGATAGTCTATCCCCAGCTCTGGGGGGCCCACTCAGAGCCCCTCTGTCTTGCTAGCATTGAGTTGGAGATGTTTCTTCTCCATCCAGTCCTACTCAGCCTCCAGGCAGTAGGACAGAACTCGACAGCCTCACAGCCTGAATTTGAAAGATATGATTAGGTATCGTCAGCATACTAATGAAATGGAACTCCAAAACAGTGGATGATTTCACCCAGTGCTATCATGTAGACGTTGAAACAAAAGGAAACAAAAAGGAAACGAAAAGCTATGCATTTATGTTATATGCCATTTTTTTTATATTGTCCAATTTTATGTATATATAAGAGCTGTGTGCGTGTAGCTAAAGTACTTTTAACTGTGTTTACACTTGCATAAAATACTTGCTTAAATAGGTTCATTAACCAGCAGCTTCATAGCTTTTTATGGCTTATGAAAAGGCAAAGTGAGCTTGTTGTCTTTGTCAATAGGAAATGGAAAATGCCTGGAATGAATATCTGAAATTGGAAAAAGATGTGAACCAGCTGAAACAAAGTCTGCAAGAACAGATGAATAAATCATGTTTTTCTCAGGTGGGGCTATTTTCAATTTTTGAACTTTGCAATTCCCTAAATAGTTTGAAGCTTTCGTCAAATCTCATCTCACTGGGAGATCTAATTTTGATGGGAAATAGAGCCTTTTTTTCCTCCAGAGGGGGAAAAAAAGCTTCACGTGCATATTATATCATAGTATGCCAGAACTCTGTGTACATGCAAATATACCAAATCCTTATAAGCATCTGATGTCTCACTCGTTGGCCAGTTGCTCAATGCTATGACAAAATAACCAATAAGACCTTTTTTTCTGGGATGACTAGACATCTTTAGTTTGCCAAGGAAATTTTCTTAGAAATATGAGTGTTCTCCTTTGTTCAATGTATATTATATTAACTTATTGCTATCAAATAAATTGTCATCTGCTGGTGGCACCTCATTTGGGGAGTTTTTAGTGATGTTTATGTTGAATACTGTTTGATTTTATAATTTGGTTGCTTATTTTATATTTTAAAATACGTTGTGATAGATTCTTGGGGATTTTATCCTGTTCTCTCCCTTTAAGCAACCAACAAAGAATCTCAATCCAGCAAGCATGATAGATTTCCCATTCATTTCACTTCTCTGTACCTTTTCAGAGGCAAATTATACAAATTATATGTAAATATATATTTTTGTTAGAATGCTGAACAATGTAAGAATTGTTATATTGTGTGTTATTTAAAGAAAAAAATGAAAGAAAGCAAAGAAAATGTCCTCGATTTCTATTTGTATAACCAATATTGGTTTGGTTCTCCTCACCCCACTTTTTCATTAGGAGAAAACTCAAATGCAAAAAGATTTGTGGAGAATTGAAGATGTTACAGCTGGCCTAAGTACAAATAAATCCAACTATAAAGTCATCATTGAATCTATCAAGAATCCAGGTAAGAAAGCTTAATGCTGATATCTAGCTACTGGAATATTATCAAATCAATATATTTATTTATTTATTTATTTATTGGACTTATATGCCGCCCTTTCTCCACAAGGACTCAGGGCGGCTCACAGCAATAAGCAACAACAAGTCCAAATTAAAATTCAAACAATAAAAGAATCTAAAATTCCCATTAAAACCCCTTCAGTCCAGGCCAGCCTGGTGAAACAACCATGTTTTAAGGTCACGGCGGAAAGAGCGAAGGTCAGGGGCCACCTGGAGCTCCAAGGGGAGCTGATTCCAGAGGGTAGGTGCGCCTACAGAGAAGGCTCGCTATCTAGGGGCCGTCAGCCGACATTGTGTGCTTCCATCTTAGGCTAATGATACCTGAATCACAGTTTTTGTTTTCAGGCATCAGTAAATTATTATGTGAGAGTGTTAATATACTAGAACCATGATGGCGAACCTATGGCACGGGTGCCACAGGTGGCACGTGAAGCCATATCGGTGGGCATGCGAGCTCAGCTCTGGCACACATGCATGCGCTGGCCAGCTGATTTTCGGGCCTTCTGGGCCCACCAGAAGTCAGGAAACACACTGTTTGTGGCCTCCGGAGGGCTTCTTGGGGGGTGGGGAAGGCCATTTTCATCCTCCCCAGGCTCCTAGAAAGGCTCTGGAGCCTGGGGAGAGCGAAAAACAGGCCTCCTGGGCCCACCATGCCATCGCGTGCCAAAAGCGAGGGGAGCACAGGGGAGTGGGGCACATAGAATTATGGATGTGGGCACGCGTGCATGTGACCCCACTGCGCTCCCCCCGCTTTTAGCACGCGATGGCAAAAAGGTTAGCCATCACTGTACTAGAAACTTCATCAGGGAAAGGTAGCTTAGCTTTTATGTTGGAAACATTATGAATTGCAAAAAGTATGCTAAATTGTTCCTTCTGTGATTCAGGTATCATTAGCCTAACATATAATATGGAAGCACACATATATTGATTTACTGATGCCTTTTGTTTTCAGAGGGACGCGGTGGCTCAGTGGCTAAGATGCTGAGCTTGTTGATCAAAAGGTTGGTAGTTCAGCTGTTCGAATCCCTAGTGCCGTGTAACGGGGTGAGCTCCTGTTACTTGTCTCAGCTTCCGCCAACCTAGCAGTTCTAAAGCACGTAAAAAATGCAAGTAGAAAAATAGGGACCACCTTTGGTGGGAAGGTAACAGCATTCCGTGTGCCTTTGGAATTTAGTCATGCCAGCCACATGACCACGGAGATGTCTTCGAACAGCGCTGACTCTTCAACTTTGAAATGGAGATAAGCACCGCCCCCTAGAGTCGGGAACAATTAGCACATATGTGCGAGGGGAGCCTTTACCTTTACCTTTGTTTTCAGAAATGGTATCCTAAAATGTATGTACTTGGGTATTTCTAAAAACACAGTTTAATAAATCTTAAGATGGTTTCCCAAACACTAGTTTTACTTTCATACTGTTTATTATGGAGATAAGGGTTATTCATTTTTCTGAGCTACACCTTAATGTAATGTGTATTTTTCCAGAAAGAAAAACAGTGCCTTCATTTTCAAAACCTCTAGTGCCTTCATCATCATCTACTCTCATGTCAACAGACAGCAAACTTTCTACTCAGCAAAGTCCACCAACTAGTCCTATCAAGCCCTCGTTGGAAGTCAGACTTTTTCCTCAGCCTTATACACAGCCCAGAATGTTTTCTCCCTCCCTACAAGTGAAAAAAGTTGAACCTCCAGTCCAGTCACCAGTGAAATTAAAACCAAAGGTTGTAAGTGTCATTATTCCGCCTTCTTGTAGTTAATGGGATAAAATGCACAGAGAATGGTATTGGATTTCCTTGTGTGTAGTACATGGGATAATGAACGCTGATAATCAGATGTAGGTTTTTTATAATGTTCTTGATTGCAATTAATGCTTTGAGTTAATCTGCTTATAAATGGCTTGTGACTGAAGAATTTCCAGGAAAAAAAACTTGAAAGAATGTGGTATTAAATTCATATATATATTATTTGCTGTGATTTGAGCAGGAGAATTGGTTTATTCTCCACATGGAGCAATGAACACGTTTCTTTTTTTTTAATGCAATATTAGGAAGATGAAGCACCACCAAGACCTCCTCTCCCACAGCTGTATAGCACTGATGATAACCCACCAGCTGTTCCACCTCTTCCTAAAGAAGCTACAGTAATAAGGCACACATCAGTGCGTGGTCTCAAACGTCAGTCTGATGAAAGAAAACGAGACCGTGAACTTGGACAGTACATAAATGGAGATTACAGGGTAAGCATTCCATCCCAGGTTGAATACTGCAGTTCAAACCTTACTGTAGTTGTAGTACCGTCTTCCAATATGCTGTAATTGAAGGGAGGCAGTATATGAAAAATGCTGCAATCTAGTTTAATTGTATATTTATCCATGTAGGTAGAACTCCGCTCATATGTGAGCGAACCTGAATTGGTAACAATAGGCGGTGATCTGAGCCAACCTTCCATTGGGTTTTGTGGTACTGACAACAGATACCAAACATTACCTACCAGAGGTGAGTGAAGAGACTGAAATTTCTGTATTTTAGAAAGTCATGTTTATTATGGTTTTGCATTTCCAAATGATAATACCATTTGACACATGGCTGGGTTGAAACTCCAGATACAACTTTAAAAGGGCAAGGTTTTAAGAATCAATTATATGTATATAAATAAATATATGCATAAATCCTGCTCCTGAAACACTAAACTATGAAATTCAGATTACAGCATCTAGGAAATAAAGAACTATCATAAGAATAGTGATTCCTATTAAATCCTTAATAAATATAGTTCAATGAAGAATTGAGTAAGACATTTAGATGTCTCAATTATAGGACATAGTGTATTATGAAAGGAAGGAAAGAAATGCAGCAATAGAAATGTCCACATCCCTACTCCAACTTTTGGCTTTAAAGACTCCACATTTGAACTCATTTTTAAAAAGTTATCACAAAACGTAGATTTAACAAATACCAACTGGACTTTTTTTTCTAAGTAGAGATTTTTCGCCTTTTTTAAAGGATTATCTGGTTCAACTTCTAGACTCCATCAATCATCAACAGTTTCATCATATTCAACGCTTCGAAGGGATGCTTCCAAGGTAAAATATGTTTAATTAGGATGCCATTTGCTTTGAACAACACTTTAGTGGTGTCATTTTACTTTAGCATTTGATAATCGTTTGTAGTTTAAAATTATTTACCTACAAGGATCATTCAGATGATGAGTGCTTTAAGATTTTAACATTTATAGATTTTTATAGGGCTGGGAATCTAGACACTGTTGCTTCCCATTTGAAATTTCCCCATATTTTCCCATTGCTTCTTCCTTTTTTAATTAGAAAAATTAAGGAGGGAAAGACAGAATTTCTATCTATTATCATTTGGAATTGTTCTACATAGTAGTAACCATCTGTCTGGAAGCACCTTAAATCTGGGTTTATTTACAGCTCAAGATAAGTTTGTGGATATAGATCTCACTTTAGATTAGGTTAGTTGTTACAGTTTCTGTAACATAATTCTTAATTGTGTGTTCTCCTTCTGAAAAATTAGATACTTGCACATCATCCAAAGTATGTCCATTGTCTTGAAGAAAATTATAGTCAATTTTTCTATGTTATTTTCTTCCTCCTAGAAATTTAATCAGATATTTTTCCAAACTATACACTTTGCAAACAAAAGTTTGTAAAGTTTACATACTGGTTTTTTGGACAGTTTGCAAAGTTTGAAAGTTTGAAAAAAAACAGTGAAAGGATAGTTCTGTCATCTTCAGCCTCTTAAACTAACATAGTTGTATGTCAATATTGTCCATAGTAAGTTAATTAAAAAGTAAGTAGTTTGGAGTTACACTAAAACTTTTTTTAAAAAATTGTTATTAAAAACATGTTCTGTGTCATTTTCAAGGAGAGACCAAAGAGTGCCTTGGAACGTTTATACTCTGGAGATCCCCAAAGAGGAAAAATGAGTGCTGAAGAACAATTAGAAAGAATGAAGCGACATCAAAAGGCAATAGTTCGTGAACGCAAAAGAACTCTTGGTCAAGGAGAAAGACATTCGGTTTCATCACGACCATTCATCCAGCCTGGTTCTGCAGACATAGGCTCAGTATGTTAGACATGCCTTAACAGGACTAGATAAAACAAAACGATCTGTAGCTTCTCTAGTAAGCACTTTTATTTGAGAGTGCATGTCACCTTGTATTATTTAATTATATAATGGTGGTATTTCAGTAGGTAGGGCGCGCATAACAGGAAATGGCTTCTGGCTATAAATATTGACAATTTAACCTAGGAAGTAGGAAATAAATTGGCATAAGAAAAGTACAGTGAGAAAGAAAATATATATATTTCAATGTAGATAATAAGTTGATTTAATCATTTTTTTTCTTACAAGGTTATGAAAGTAGAATACTTCTGTTCTGATTGCACCATAAATGAATGAGCCCAATATACAATATTAGCACAATTAAAAAATATAGTATCTATGATTATGTTAAATAAGGAATTCATAGGTTATCATTTTAGGTTTTGAGAAATTTTATATATTAATATTAAACATAGGAACAAATCATTTAATGATTTCATATAGTTGCTAATGATCATATATGTCTAAGGTGTGAACAATATTCTAGAAAGGCTCTCCATTGAATTAGGAAAAATAATTCCAAGTTAAATATAAACTTGATTTCATCGTTGTCAATTATGCAAATAATCATTCCCACTGCAATCATTAATATTTTACCTACCCAATAAATATATTTATAAAAAAGAATATTCCATCAATACTAACATAATTCATTTACAAATAATAGCTGTAATCCATAAACATGATCTATTTATTCAGAAGAGACCATTCAATTTAAAATTACTGGGGCTGCTTTTTTTAATTGCCAAATAAAGGGTGTGTTGTTGGTCTTAGAAATGGCCACTGTCAGCTGACAGACACAGTGAACAAAGGTGCCAGTTTCACTCAGTTATCAAACTTTGGATAGATAGCAAAATTTAGGATTAGGTTACCAAGATGTTTTCCTAAATAAAGGAATGATCTCAGATAAATTCAGTGGGATTGGTTTCCTGTACTGTCCTCAAATCACAGCACATCTCCATTTTTTACAATTTGGAACCACAGAAAATAAAGTCAATTTAAAATTGAAATAAAGCAATCCAGTTATAACCATGAATGAAAAATTACTGCAAAAATGTAAGTTTTACTTTTTAAGATAGCCCTAGGAGTTTAAAATATAATAGATCATGTTTTTTTAGGATTATGAAAACAATTGGAGATAGCTTATGTTAGACTGTTACTGCAAAAGCAACAAAAACTTGCAGATTTATTATGATAAGCTGTGGGGGGTTAAAGGAGGGTCCATTAAATACATAATCATCTAAGAATCAAGCTAAATAATGAGAATGTATTCAATGATTTAAGTATAAGAATGTATCCAGTATATCAGATTTTGATTATTTACATAAGAGATGCATGACAGAAAGAAATCAGGATCTGATCATTCCAATAGTGCCCTGTCATAACACATCTAATTCTGTGTATGGGCACACATGCATGCATACACACACTTACATAATTGAGGTTAGTTTGGCACTAATAAACAACTCTTCTGAACATATTTTTTTAAGAAATTGGATGAGTGTGGGATTGCAGATGGTCTGTCTTCTGCCCTTTTGATAAATAATGTTTCACATTGTATGTTTCCATGCTATTAGGAATATTATCCATGATAATCTCAGAATCTCTATTGTGCCCCATCTTCAAAGAAAACCTTTCCTTTTGGTAGTAGGAAAGTCATTTTATATCCTTGGTTCTTGCTTGTAATATTTCCATTCCCTGTTTTAAGTAAGAACAAACTCTGAATGTTATACCACGAACAACAGAGTTTCAATGTCTCCCACTTTTTATTAATACGTAATCAGCCTAAATCAAACCACTGCATATGAAAACCTTTTCATTGAATGTTGTAAACCTCTTGCAACTTTAAGACTTGTGGACTTCAACTCCCGGAATTGGCTGGGAGATTTCTGAGAGTTGACGTCCACAAGTCTTATAGTTGCCAAGGTTGGACCCCTGTTGTAGACCTAGTCTACCCTGCTGGTCCAATAGGGAACGTACAGTAGAGAGATGTCCATTTCCCAAGAGAAAATGTCAAATATTCATTTTGACAACTTCCAAACCTTCCCCCCTTATAGGGGGGAGAGGCAATATAAAAATGTAATAATAAATAAATAAATAAAACGCCGATAAGGGAGGGCTAGAATCTGAGTCTGCTCAATTCTAGTCTAGCCCCTTAACCCCAATACTGGCTCCCATTCATACATAGCCTGTTTAAAAGTCCGACACTTTGAACAGGGGAGAAACTTACTGGTCTCATCCTTTTTTAAAAGTAAGAAAATAATGTTATTCTTTTCCCTCACTGTTTGTAGGATACATCATGATCTGTGAAAGTTAATCTTCAAAATGCCGCAGGACTTTTTCTTATTTAGGGTTTTCAAAACTGAGGGTTTATGTAATCACTGTTTTGTCTTTTCCTTTTGGCTCACTAGAATTATTTATGCTCATCACCTGCCTAATTCATTGCACAAGATCTCTTGCTTTTAAAGTCACTCATCCTACATAATGTTTTTTTTTTAGTTTCTAATTATTTAAAACTATTTCTAACTAAACTCAATTTCTGCCAGGCTTAATTGCATTTTGGTATTCTTTTTGTTAAATTTCTAATTTTGTTGACTTTTCACCTTTGTGTTTCCATTTTAAATAGCTGTTTGGTTGCATTAATTTATAAGGCATTCATGAGCCATTAATGTAATAAGTAATTATGTAAAACACTTAAAGGAAACTGGTGCATTCAGATATTTACCTTTGCAGTTATATTTTTTTAAAAAATAGCGTTAAAACATAAGGAAAAAATAAAGCCCTGCCATATCACATATTTAAGTAGCAGAATTTGAACCTGATTTAAAAAAAAAACAAAAAAAAACATGGCTCTCAAATTTATAATGATTTCTAATGCAAACATTTCATAATATTTTAAGAATTGAAACAATGTAGCATATTTTCATACCATGTTGGTCTTCATTTTTGCTGTAAAAATAAAAAATAGCACAGCCCAGGAAGAAACGAATTATTTACCCAAAGGGCTCCGGTGCACAAAACATAATGTTTGAAAGCACAATTTACAGCACTACAATAATTTTAGCAACCAAAATGGTAAAAATGAAATATGTAATTAGATTGCACAGTTTGTAATGTTACATAAATTGTATGTGTAAATCTACTTTTAATACAGTGCACTGATATTTTTTTAAAAGATCAATTTTTAAATGTAGTATGACATTAAAATATTGAGCAGAATACTTGGATTGTCATTTGATTTTGATGTAAAGGACTCCGTATCAACAACAATAAAAATGCTTCCTAATACTGAATTCATGTATTTCTTCTAGTATAACATGTAGATTAATATTGCCTTATATTACATTTATGGATGCAATCAGGCCTGGCTTGAATATTGAGTAGGCATTTGGTTACAGTGTGTGCTTTAATTGTGAAAACGATAGAACTTTTCTCGGAGAAATCCCTCCATTTTTAAAGTCTGCAATTTTTATTTGTGCAGTTACCTTCAAATTAACTAGATGCTCCTATTCCTAACAAATATAAATGTAGGTATGTTTTGAGTGAAAAATCAAGAGCTTGTGCATGAATAATACATTTTTTCCCAAAATACCTTAGACTGGCTCTACAAAGTTGTTGCCCTGAATAAATAGAAGGTAACCACCACTGGGTCTCCTGTGTTTTCTGCACTATTCCAGAATAAAATCTCAGTATCCTATCAGATTTATGTGAGCTACAGAAGAAAGGAGGAAACAGTCAAAATACCCCCCCCCCTTTTTTTTTCATCCAGTGGAGAAATCCTGAGTGAAATTCTGTCCTTGGGTATTCAAGATGCAAACAGTGTTGAACCCAAAGGTTGAGAGCAGAGGTCTGGGACCTGGTCTTCTATTGTGCAAATGAATACTTTATACAGTAACACATTTTAATGTGATTACTGAAATAGGAATATTCATGCAATTTGAGTGCTACACCCTTTATGACAAGTGGGACAGAACATCCAAGTAAGATAAAATAGTCATTTTTTTTACTGTGAGCACACTGCCCACATTAAAAATGAAATTCTGTTGCCTGCTCTCAAAAGAAAGTCTATATTTACCCATGCCCTTATATAACACACATACACACACACACATATCTGTACATATAAATAATATGCTATTGAATGAGAAGATAAATGATCCAATTATAACAGGCTGCCATCCCAAGAGCTACTATGCACTTTCTAGTGTAGGCAGACCTTTACAAGATTATATTTTCTTTTTCTTTGGAACAAAAGGGGCCTATTTGTTGTCTTATAAGAATTCTGAAACACACTTCTTTCAGAAGTTCTCATGATAAAAACCTTGTTTGAACAATACAGTACCCAGACATCCAGCCTCATAGGGCATATTTTCTGTGGCCTATGGAGAGGTGGGGTTTCAGCAGGTTCTGACCAGTTCTGGAGAACCGGTAGCAGAAATTCTGAGTAGTTCGGAGAACTGGTAGTAAAAATTCTGACTGGCCCCGCCCCCATCTATTCTCTGCCTCCCGAGTCCCAGCTGATCGGGAGGAAATGGGGATTTTGCAGTAACCTTCCTCTGGAGTGGGGTGGGAATGGAGATTTTACAATCTCCTTCCCTTGCCATGCCCACCAAGCCACGCTCACAGAACCGGTAGTAAAAATTTTTGAAACCCACCACTGGGCCTATGGATTGTATAATGCAGCTGAATGGGAAAATATATTTATCACACATGCACGTTTATATGTCACAAATCCCTCATATTTCATTCAGGATTTCATTTATGTTATAGTCAAAATACTTGTAAATAAATGAAATACTTTATTACTGTATGAGTGTTATACAGTTAGCATATCTTAGTTGGAGGATGGTTTTATAGGACACCTGACTTTGTTTGTTTGTTTGTTTGTTTGTTTGTTTATTTATTTATTTATTCAATTTATATGCCGCCCCTCACCGAAGACCCAGGGCGGCTTCGTTAGGCTATTCTGATAAAAATGTGGAAGTAATTAATAAATTTAATGTATATTATTTATGGTAATTCTTAACGTTATTTCTATCATATTTTGAAAGTATTCAGTGACTATGAAAGCAAGTTTACATTGTGCTAAAGTTCCACCTCTCTTGAAAAAGCTAAGAAAATATTCCTAGATTAGCATGGAGTGCTTGTTAATAGTAAGAAACATAAAAGGCAGTGATCTATATTATTTGATTTTAGTCGATAGTTTTCTAAATCGCATCATATCTGAAGTAAAAATACAATCTAAAATACTGGTTTGAAATGTTGATGGGCTTCATAATTTTTGCAAGTCGTTTAATAGAATAGCAACAGTTCTGGGATGGTTAGCTTACATGTGTTACAGACTTTCTACAACCAGCAGTTATTTAATTAGTCCTTTTTAAATGAGTCTTTGCAAGAAAGCTCTTCCTAATTTTAACTGGAAACTTTCCAATTCAAATTTCATTAGAACTTAGTTTCAGCTAATTTTGTTTTGTTGCCCAGAGGAAGTTGAGTCTAATTTTGTTATTTGGAGACTCTTGATTCATTCCCTTCTATCATAGGAAACCAGATCAGTTTTCTTCCTTTTGATCACAATTTATTAATTCTCAGGATGAATTATCTCTTTTTATTATTTTATGTATTTAGTATTTTAAGTCCCCTGTTTATTTCAAAGATCTCTTTTTTAATGATGTGATTTTGCTTGTCTGCTATCATCTTTTACTGCAGGCATGTAAAAATAACATCTAGCCATGACTGACACAAAGGTAAGATTGCTTTTATTGTGATTGGTAAGACGTCATTATGTGAACAAACCAATCCACCTTTAGAAGCAGGTGTAGCATTTCAGTGCTTTCTGTGTACTTGTATTTGGTATGATACACATTTATGCCAACTTAAAACAAATTCTTAAAAGGGATTCCACAGCATTTCTTTATCATTTTTTGGCTTGTTCCACAATTTTCAGTAATTTAGATAGGGTATTTTGTACTTACCTTCAATTTTCCTCTCCCAATTTCCTTAAGTTCCCTCCAAAAAAATTATGAACAGGTCAAGACAAACCCCCCCCACCATGCTATATATGTTCCAGAAAAAACCTAAAAAGTAAAAAAAAGGCTTTATTTTTTTTCTTCTTTTCTTATGTCCTTAACTCTTTAGCTCCATTCAGCACATCTTAGTTCTATGGGCATGATCTTTTACAACTTTCCCTTATTGTCTTTGTTTAGTAAGACTAACCAGTCTTAGGAAATTTAAAGAGTCCTTGTTGGAACGGAATATGTATTAATGAATTAACTCAAAAGTGATTTAAAATAAATAATCTATCAAATTCAGATGTCCCCTTAAATCTGTTTTAAACTTCTATGGTTTAAACTCTTGGCAAGCTTTTTGCTTTTAATTGTTTTTAAATCCTTATAATTGTTTCTCTACTTTTTATTTTAATCTTGCCCTAGGCAAAAGGAACACTCACCAGGTAGTTAAATTCCTCTGCTGTTTGAAGACCTCTGTAGCTTTAAATTTTTATATAATCCAGATGTAAGTGGAATTTTAAGGAAACCCAGTGTCTTTAAAATAGGCTCTGCATGAGACTGTCAGCTTGATGTCTTCCTCTGCTCCTGGTGTTTTACTTGCGAGTTTCCCAGAGGTTCCTTCCAGTTCTTCTTTTTTTTTTTTTTAATTTGATTTATATGCCGCCCTTCTCCGGAGACTCAGGGCTGCTTACAATGTGCTCAGCAATAGCCTTCATCCTTTTTGTATATTTATACAAAGTCAGTTTATTGCCCCCATAACTGGGTCCTCAATTTACCTACCTTAGAAAGGATAGAAGGCTGAGTCAACCTTGAGCCTTGGAGAGATTCGGAGCTGCAGTAATTGCAGGCAGCTGGTCTTAATAACCAGCTTAATAACAGGGTGCCTTAGACCACTGTACTACCAAGGCTCTTAACAGTTCTTGCAGGTTTCCTTGCATGGAGATACTTTTGGAAGCACAAATGAGTGCTCCTCAAGGCTTTTATTTGTCCAAAGAAGCTCTACTGGCCCAGGCAGACCATCTGGCTGCCAATGTCTGCATTAGCTGTGTCTGTGCTATTCAGACATATGTTAATTTGCCAGCTGAAGAGCCCAGGTGGCACAGTGGTTAGAATGCAGTATTGCAGGCTAACTCTGCCCACAGCCTGGAGTTTGATCCTGATGGGCTTGAGATTGACTCAGCCTTCCATCCTTCTGAGGCTGGATTGAGGACCTGGATTGTTGGGGTGACTGACTGAAATATGCTGACTTTGTAACTGCTCAGAGTGGGCTGTAAAGCACTATGGAGTGGCATATAAGTCTCAGTACTCTTGCTCTTGCTGTTTTCTCCACTTGGAAATTTCAAAAATTCATTAGTTTCCTTAACTATAGTTCAGTGTAATTAATATGGGTTACTTTCTGTTTCATTCACTTAAAGAATTACATGACAATAACTTTTGGAGACCTTGGGGCTACATCTGATCCAAATGTAGGTTGTGTGTTTCTCATAGGCAAAGGCCTACCGCATTTCCCTTATATATCACATTTTGGAAGAGCTTTCCCCAAAGAATACATTTTTGTTCCTGGTCCAATAGATTATTGATAAATCTAGTTACCTCTGACTCCCAACATGTAAAGTCAGAATCTAGAATCTCCTATCAACTTTGATCTGACATTAGATTCATCTCTGCTGGTTGGAAATGTAGCAGAGTTCATCAGAGCAGCCATCAAGTGAGAATCCAGGAATAAATACTATGGTAGCCATTGGTTTCCATGTTAGCTATTCAAAGGTTAAGGTAATGATAAACATTTGCTAATTTATTACTCACAATGGTCAAACATGTCATTGTTTCCTGTCTGTTACTAGTGGAAGCGGGAGCAAGAATTTGACTTGCAGTTATTGGAAAGAGCAATGTGTACAGAACAAAAAATGGGAGATAATTGGTTAAAAATCGACCCTGTGGCAGTAACAGAGACAGATCTAGAGCCCGAAGACTATAAGTTGGATATTAGCAAAGAGGTAAGGCTAATTATTGAGATTGCCTTGTATTCTTCTACTTGTAAATAAATAAATTCACTATTTCCCAAGCTTGACATACTATTTTTCTCTCCATTTGTTTTCTTTAGTGTTAATCAACAGTTTTCAGCAAGTTTTTAATTTTAAAATAAGATTGTTTTCTGAGGCATGTGACAGGGCCCTTTCTTTTTGGCATGTGTCTAGTAGCAAGAAAACCATGTTAGAAAAGTGACTAAAATGTTTGAATCTGCAAAGGAAAAATGCATAATTCTATAGAGAATTAGCCCACGCATCCTGTAGAGTTACAAGGATCTCCCAGCTCTCATCAGAAGGACATAAGCAGCATCACCTCACAAGATCAACCCCTTTTCATGTCATTCTCACAGGCAAAAATTATGTTGTACACTATGATATTGCTTGCATCACTCTGATCCTCCCTTCCTCTGCTGTGAACACCAATGCTTACCACAGTATTAAAGGGCTGATAAAATAGAGCGGATAAATTAAAAAAACAAGAACAACATACACACACACACAAATGTAATACTTTTACAGAATGGTATTAGAAAAGATTGCATTGTTTTCTCCAATAGTGGGAAGAAAGTAGATCCCAATCAAAATAATTCATCAAGGTTCTTTATAGTGTTGTCCATCAAAAGATTAGCATCGCTCCTGAGGGATCCTTTTTAGATTCATGGCTAATGCAACCTGTGTAGGTGGAGGCTGTTGCCAGAAGCAAGTTTGCCCAACTGGTTGGTGTGTGGTGGCTTTATAAGGAGGAGGGGGAAGAGGAAGAGGAGGATCTACTGATGGTAACGTTTGCTCTTTTTGTTTCGCAGATGGAGAGCTGTAATTACTCTTTAGAAGCTAACTGTAAATACTACTCAGAAACTGCACTTGGTACAAAATGCAGGAGCCCACCTAATTAGCATTAAATGCTAATAGCATATTATACATGTACTTGAGACCTTGCACTGGTTGCCAGTAGGCTTCTGAGTATAATTTAAAATACTCTAAAGGTGCATATGATTTCATTCCATGGTACATTCAGAATTCTGCCCTCCAACCAGAATCAGCCTGCCCGATTAGAATATTCCAGGAAAAGTTGCTTGTAATTTTCCTACTCCCCTGAAATTATGGGAGTTAAGAATGTTTCTTCACTATGAAACAACTTTATTATGGAGCTTTTTTTTTGGAGGTTTTAAATGTTACTCTGAGATAATACCATCACATAATTTTTTAGGAGTCAGTCAGATTTAAGACTGAATCCTGATTATTTTGATTATTATTTTTTGTTCCATGTTTGTTTTAATGCTGCATGTTGCATAATGCTGAGAATCTTAGAAATTGAAGGAAAGAAATCACCACAGGCAGAATATCATAAGTTTTGGGGGTTCCCCCCCCCTTAACAATGTATTTCGAAACCTACAGAGCCATCTTGTGGCCCAAAAGAAGAATATTTCATTTCACTGAAAGATTGAAGAGCAGACTAAACTGTCAGATTAACAGAAACTAACAAATAAAATTACTTTATTAATTCTAGATATGTAAGCTTGGGTTTGGAATTGTTATCTATATCTGAGGTCTAACTCCTGAAGATTAAAAAGTAACCTGAAAAAGTATCTTGATAACAAGAGAGAAATTCCTTCTTAAATTGAATTCTCAAAGTCTCATTATATAGCAACTATACCTAAGCATGTCCCTGAGATTTTTCTCACTGGTATTGTACATTCCTTTAAAAAAAATTACCCTAATTGTGATTAAAAAGAAGGCATCAGAGAAATCTGTCCATATATTCTTCCCCCCCTTTTGTGTATTTGAACATACAATTGTTTTAATGTTCAGTATATAGTACAGTAAACATTTATAATTATTTTTGTTTTTTTAAAAAAACCCTCTACCCAGTTGTCAAAGCCAGACAAGGTTGCAATTCCAGAACGGTACATTGAGATGGATCCTGAAGACCCCCTCACTCCTGAAGAATTGGAAGCAAGACATCGTAAGGCAGAAAAAATTAGGCATATTCTTACCAGGTCAAGGTAAGGCTTTGTGCATAATTCCTCTTTATTTATAATATCAGGAAACATGAAAAGCCATGTTATACACATATAATCAACTTTATTGCTTCAGTACATCTTGTACCGAACAATAAATCTTGCTTGCTTCTATATGTTATAAACATAGACCTGTAAAATCCTGGGTCTGTCTCCACCTTTTGCAGTGAGATGTTTCATCCAGAATCCTTTACTGGCTCTAATCCAAATGGCAACTGCTTCTTAAGGGATGTTCCATTACTGTAGATCCCTGCCAAAGAAACATTTAGTTGTGAATTATCCAGGCTGACCATCCCAGCAAGGTCCTTTAAGAGCCATTCTACTTTTTAAGGCATTTAAAACTTGTTTTAAGCCTCCCTATATTTAAACTTTTTGCTTTGGTTTTTTTTTTTTTTTTTTTTTTTTGCTGCTGATTAAGGTAGCTTGCTTATTTATCTATTAGATTTTTAACCTCCCTTTATTACTTTATAAGTAACTCAAGGTGCAAACATGCATAATACTCCTTCCTTCCTTCCTCCTCCTATTTCTCCCACAAAAACCATCCTGTGAGGCAGGCTGGGCTGAGAGAGAATTATTGGCTCAAATTCACCCAACTGGCTTTCATTCCTAAAGCAGGACTAGAATTCCCAGTCTCCTGGTTTCTAGGCCAGCAACGTAACTACTAGGCTAAACTGACTTTCATTTGTTGATTTTGTTATTTTTCTATTAGCTTCTCTGTATTTTAATACTCTGAGTATTAATAATTGGCAATATACCAATTGTATTAATACATTGTAAGAAGTTATTATAATCTCCAGATTCATAATTTCAGGATAATCCTGAAGTCTTTTTATTTCCATGTATTGAACATGTTATTGGAAAGTGGTGGGGACATTTCTACAGCACATTTTTATTTCTTTTCTTTTCTTCTTATGTTTACCCTAGTGTGCACAACCTACAGCCTCCAATTCAGGACAAATACATCTCTTCAAATTTAGATTCACAGCTACATGAGCAGGAACGCATCATTACCATATCATACGCACTGGCTTCTGAAGCCTCTCAGCGGAGCAAAGAGGTAGCAGGTACTGCTCTATTTATAAAGCAGTGGCTGTGACAATGCATTGTTTTAGTTACACTGCTACATAATGTGCATTTATACCTTTCTTCTGGGCTACTGTATGTATCGGGGCATTAAGACCATAACTTTTTGTGTTATTTAGGTGTCCTAATTGGATAGTTTTCTTTATGGAGCTGAACCACTGGATTTAAACCATGCGTTGTATTAATCAGTATTCAGTGCTGGGTATAGTTTCCTCCTACTTGAGTAGCGATGCGACACAAAATTTTCTCTACAGCAAGTCTTCATCTGCTAAGGCAATGTATAGATCGCAACATCACACATTAAGATTAAATGGACATTTTTCATGCCCAAATCTTAGAAAGATTTGCAGTCATCAACATGAGATTCCAGTTTAAACAAAAATTTGGTAGAAGTTTGAAGATGGAAAATGTGTTTTCAACAATGTGTTCCTCTTAGTGCTCTGTGAACTGTTGTGCTAGTGGGTTGTCTTCATATTGAAGGCAATCCTTGGCTCAATAAAGGAGCCCTTTATTAACCTATGCCTTTGGTGAGGCTATTTCCAAAAGAATCAGCATGGCGTTGGATGATTGTTACTTTGGGGTGGGGGGGTTGCACTGAGACCTTTGTTTTATCTTTGTATAACACCTCATCTTTTTTCTGTTCACATGTTCAGGTTTTTCATCAAAAATACTGTAAAACTCATAAAAATAAAACAGTGAAATTTGACAGATTGATTGCACTATTCCAAGATTTAGAATTGGATTTGGCAAATTATTTTTGAAAATTTAGTCACTTAATCCTCCTAAAGCTTCATGGGTTTCAGATGAAGTTTTTTTTTTAAAATCTTTTTGGAAACTAAGTACATACAGAAATAGCAGATGAAGTTGTTCTTGCTAAATGGTGCTTCCTTTATACTTTAATCTTTCAATGTGTTACTAATACAGCATGATATTTTCATTGTATATAGCAGGGCCAGTATTATCTATTGCCTTAATTTTATATTTTATTAATTGATTTCAATTTCAACTTGATTTCTGTTGTGAGCTGCAGCACAAAATCACATCTACATTTATTTTGTGATGTCAGCAAATACTCTCTGATTCCTTTGATTTTTTAAAAAAATACTATATCACAAATTGATTATTATAAAAGAGAATTGATTATTTGAGAATTGATTATTCTCAAAAAATTAGTCAGCACTCTAAGTTAATATCCATGGCAGATTCTAGTTCATTTTTTAAGGAAAACAGGTTCTACATTTATCTTAGAGAAAGACATTTTTGCTAGAATTATTTCCACTCTGATATACGTCTTTTGATTCAGATAAGTAGAAAGTCAAGAAAGAACTCTAGGAGGAACAAAATGTCTTAGTGAAAGTGAACATATAAATTTGTTTATTCATTAGATTTACATCCCACCTTTCTTTCAAAGCTATAACAACTCTTGAAGTAAACCAAGCCGAGAGACAATTATTGGCTCAAAATCTCCCAGCAAGTTTGTACGGCTGATAGATTGAAGCTGGCTCTGATCACCACAGTACACAGATGCTCAAGAAATTCCACAATCTCACAATATCCTTTAATAGAATCTCGGTTTACCACAGTTTTCTAATGTGCTTGTTGGCACTCAACCACACTCCGATGGATCAGAGAGTACACTTCTTTCTTCCTTTTTAGGAAGGCACAACAAATAAAATAATAAAATAAAAATGACTCGGTGATTTTCCATATTGTAGAACTAAAATTTCTTGGTATAGAAAGTACATGTTGATTTTCAAAAAGTACTACAATTCATACCAATGGCTGGCCCTGTTATCTTGTATTCGAGCCCATTAAGCTGTGTATATCTCTGTGTGTGTGAAAGAGGAAAAACACAAAGAGCAATTGTGGTGCCTAATTCCTTTGTATGATCCCTTCTAGCTCCGCAATTGATTTACCCAACTAAAGCACCCTCACCTTCTGTACCTCAGCCACTCCCTTTAAGCAATGGATTTCACTACACATTTGTCTAAACACCTTGAAAGTAAGAACTAACTGCTCTTGCTGCCTATATTTGCCATTAATGATATGCTTTGCCGATGTTGGATCTCTCTGTAAATGTAATAATAACTGCATGCAAACTTTAGTGATCTAAAGAATCTTTGCTCCTTCAGTCAAGAAAAGTAAAAACTCTTACAAGGTATTTGCAGAAATTGTCAAGAACTGCTGTGAGGCTGCAAGTTGTGTTAACTTCCTTATCACTATGATGTTATTTTAGGTGAAATGTGTACAGGTGATTTTGTAATAGCAACACCACATATTGAAAATGGGAATTGCCACAAACCGTGTGTTGGTGGAAACTGGAAAATCCTAAAATATTAAATAACATTTGAACAAATATTAAATATGTAAAATAAATGTTACATAATAAAATACATACTAATATTGGTAGCAGAAATAAAAAGAGCCTTCATTTTCTTATGCTAGGCCATAAATTGAAGAATAGTTATGGCAATCATTATCACTGAAATAAATCCTGCCATGCTTTTGGCGGCTTGCCCTGGCAATAAACCAAGTTTGTATATAGTTTCATAGACTTATTTCTTTTCTTTAAAATATATTGCCTTTTTTTGAAAAGAAAATTATGCTTATTTTCTTTTCTAGGTCTTTTTTGAGCGCTGTAGTAGAATTGAGTGAATTGCACATGTTTGGGAGATTTCTTTTTTTGATTAAGACCGGTTAACAAAACAATGTTATTTTGTTTCCTGGGTTTTCTGGGAAGTCTCTGTAATATATCAAGTATATTAAAAAATCAGAAGAAAGAGCACAATATGCTTTACCACTATATGTTGATCTAATCTTACTACCCCATCATAAGCCGTTCCTATTCCCAGTCCAAAATTACCTATGTGCACTATTAGCTATTAACAGCAATTGGGAAATTTATGCTCTTTAGTAAACTTGCTTCATCAATATCTAATTGCATTGTGTTTTTCTTTATGCTAGCCAAAGCAGTAACTGAACAGTGATTCCTGGAATGTGCCAGTAACAATCGCCTAATGAACAAATGCAACCAGAAAGAAGGAAGAGGCACCCCCAGGCTAGCCTTCTCTCATAATTACTCTTATTTGAACACCTTTTATAAATAAGTATAGAGAACGTTTGTACAACAAAAAAGAAAACAACTTTGTATAAGAAAAAAAAAAAACCAGATAAATTAACAGCATTTTTAATATACTATATAAAACAGTGTTTCTCAACCTTGGTAACTTTAGGAAGATGGACTTAAACTCCCAGAATTCCCCATCCCATTCTGGTGGGGGAATTCTGGGAGTTGAAGTTCACCCATCGTAAAATTGCCAAGATTGAAAAACACTGATATAAAATATGTGCAATGGCCATAATTCAAGCCTATGCAGGTCCTGCTGATCAGTTCATTGATTTTAAAGATTTGATGTGCTACACTAAATTACAATATTTTTTTTAGAACAAAGTATGTATTAGATTTGTTGTTGAAAAAGGGCTGCTTACGTTTAAAAGATTGGATGCATGCTATTGAAGATGCATCATTATATTCTTTGGATATTTTGTGTTTAGAAAAGAAAAAATTAAAAACCATTATCCCATTAGATAGATAGATGATAGATAGATAGATAGATAGATAGATAGATAGATAGATAGATAGATAGATAGATGATAGATAGATAGAGTGGATAATGGTTTTATGACAACAATCAGGTGCAATTTTATTGAAGTAATCAATATTTCAATAATTCCAGATCTCATACAAATACAAAAACTAGATATAAAATATGCAAAAGATGGACCACTTTGAATAAATTATATAGCCTATTATGATTGAGAATCATTATAGACTTCTGTCCTACATGACATCACTAAACTAGCAACACTGTCTACGTGTTGTAAAAAGAAATCCATTTTTTATATCATCTTTGAGTTTAGGCAATGAAATAGACTCAATTCAGTCCAGTCGTATCCCAATGTAAATGCAATTCTCATGCATTTTCTCCTCCAGCACTAAGATACATATGCATACATTCACCACATTTGTCACAAAGAGGGCATAAGTTACGCACAAAATCTAATTTTTTTAAATTAAAAAAAAGACTTGCCATGGTACATCTCTCTGCATATTCAGCAGGAAGTTGTTCATTATTGATCCTCCTAGGAAGTGCTCCATCCACAGCGGGCTCAGATCACCGACTTTAAATTGAAATATTTAAAATAACTGATACAATTATTAATACATCATTTTACTCAAATATTTATTTTCTTAATTATCTGTATTTTCAAAAGCAGCACAAATGATTTATTTATAAACAACTATTTATAATTTGCTATGTTGATTTAGCTCCTGGCCCAGACAATTAAAATCTAAAGTATATGATTTCTCTTCTTGGGTCTTAGGCAAAAAAGCTAATAAAAGCAGTTAATGATTGTTTTTTTAACATGAAGGCTTGTGTGCTATATTAAAAATGTGGGCTGACAGCCGTCCAATATTTTGTTCATACTCCTGCAGAAGTGAGTTCAATGTATTACAGCTTTCTATTACATTACTCTCTTTTTATATCAATTGTATAAAAAATAATCCTAATCATCCAGAGTAAAGTAAATATGGATTTAAGCCAAGGTGGGCTCACATTTGGTTTGGACACTAGATTGGCTTCTGGAAGACTCTTCAGACCTACACTAAATGTCAGGGCAGTGACACACTCACACCTTCTCCCACATATATCTCACACTTGGGAGGAGGGGAGAATTTAATCCTGCTCCCCAACTGTGATCTGAGGTGCTCTGTCCCTGCCAGTAATATCAGCAGGCAAAGAGCAGCTTTACGAGGATGACTATGGGGATATGAAGATGTTTTAAGCTCTTCCATTCCTCCATTGCAATAATTCTGGCATAAGGAAGATCCCAGAGGGAGACGGCAGAAACAAACAGCTGGCAAATCCTGGAATATTTCCTTGCTGTTAACAGTACAAATCGGGTCAATTTTGGAATGAAAATTAATTTCACCCCTACGTAGCAATCCTGGTGAAGATTGCACAATAGGTCATACAAGGATTATTTTTCTGTGGCTCAACACTGTCTGTGCGATGGGATGTGGATGGAAATTAGTGAATTGGTGCAGAGAGAAATATGGCTGTTGACCACAAGATTACAGGGTAGTTTTCTAGAAGCCACAGGGTGCCCATGTGTAATAGAAATTGTTTCCTTAAAACTGGCTTGTAACATTCCAACCCTACATGTAAGCCTGAGACTATTTTTATTAGAAAATCCCAGTATAAATTATTGAGACATTCATACTGATAGCTGTTATAGAGGTGCACATAAAAGATGAAACCTGTAGTTTTCAGCTGGTTACTGCATGGTTTAGTACAATGCACAAACTTAAAGATAAAGGAATTTCCTAAAATTTACTGTTAAAAACGCATTGTGTATGGAGAACTACATGTTGTCTTTCATTTGATGTTTATTCTTTGAACAGGCGCACACTACATAGCAAACTAATTTTGAGAGTTTGAGGTACTTTAAAAATCTCTTTGTGATGTTGCCTTGCAGCTACCGTTCAATGAAGGAATCTTTCAAGATGAACGAAACCCTTTCTGTATTACAGTCCATACCTTTTATGTATTTACTTGTAGAAGTGAGTCCCAATTATTTGTTTCAGATTAGAATGGAATTATTAAAACAGATGTGGAAAATTCAAATATCCAAGAATAAATACTCAAATACTAATACTCAATACTTTGAGAAGCACATACAACTCCATGTGAAGAACAGGCTAATTTAATTTAAACCAGGTCGGAACAAAGTAGCATTATCTTGTTTTACATTTGTAAAAGTCAATAATTGTTTTCTGTGTTTAAACACCTATCCCAAACAATAACATAGTTTTTCTTACAGCAAAATTGACTCTGAAAAAAAATCATAAGAATGATTCTGTTAACTTTTCCCTTAGGCTTTTATTAATGATTTTGTTGAAATCTAACACTGCATTGCTATTTCTTTCCTTAAAGTTGGTCAACAATATGTAATTGGACATATTTATTCTAGCAACTAAAGAATTGCATAAAGAGAAACACTAGTTTTTGTTTTCCTTTCCATCATTAAGTTAACAGATACAATTTCTACCCGACTGTGTCTTTTATCAAATAGTAACTGGATTGAAAATTATTTTTTGAACTTGTATTCTATTTTGGCTATATTTGGAAGCTATTCTTGATAAATGTATGTAGAAAATACAATCTATTTTAATTGAATACTGCCAGTGTCAAGCATGTAACATTTTGTCAAAATGATATTCTTTTATTTTTTTTCTTTATTAAAATGTTGAAATATTTTGCAAGGAATTTTTAATTTAAATGAAATGTAACAATTTGGAGACAATATATATGTACATATTAAACTATTAACATTATATTTGATCTGCCTTTGGAGTTTTATCATTTGTTCTTCAAATTTTGACTGCAATTGAATTTACATTTATTTTTTACTGTCAAAATATTGTCCCTTGTTCTCGGATCCACATTGAACTACATCACAGTTTTTCTCTGCCTTCATCCCACAGGATTTGACTGCACGTCTTTGGTATCCCTAGCATAGAACTCAAATAAATTGCTGAGTTCCTTGGCCAAACCATCCAGTGGGTCACTGATTCCTTTTCCCTGTGTTATAGACATTATGCTTCTTAATGGCAATGGTGATGTTACAGTATATATTAAAACTTCTTCATGAAATAAATATGGATTGGAAATAGCTTTTCTTTAATTTGTAAGGGCTTTGCAAACATCAGTTTATCCCTTGGGTTAGGAAAAGCCCCACAGGATTCAGAAACAAATCCCAGCGCTGCCACTATTTTCTTATTGATTTCATTAATTCTAAATTGTTCTCTTCCAGCAAATTTTTTCTAGTAAATGTTCCCTTCCGTCCCCAATCTGAGTTTCCCAATTTTCAGGTAGTGTTTTCCTATCTGCATATAACCTGGGTTCAGATTAAGGAGCTCTGTGAATGTATTGCTTCTTATCCCCATTTATAAGCAACAATTAAGTATATTTTACTTTATTTTTATTTTATTTAGAGGGTTTGCTGCCTGAGCAGGGGTTTGGAATAGAAGACCTCAAAGGTGCCTTCCAACTCTGTTATTCTGTTATTTTATAATATATATATAGGCAGTCTTTGTTTTTTGCTTAATGACCTTTCAAAATTATGAAAAAAGCATTGAAAAAGTGTTAAAAAATGGGACTTAGGACTGGTTCTCCTACTTATGAACGTTGCCACGTCCCAGCAGTCACATGATCAAAATTTGAATGCTTGGTAACCCTCACTTTATTATTATGATTGCCTCATCCTGGGGTAACGTGATCACCAGTTGCAACCTTCTCAGGGTGTTTCAACAAACGAAATCAATGGGGCAAGCTGGATGTGATTTGCTTAATGTTTGTGTGATTTGCTGAACCACTGCAGCAAAAACATTGCAAAATCGGATGCAACTCGCTTAACAAGCATATTGCTTAGTGACAGAAGTTTAAAGTTCCAATTATGGCCATAAGTCAAGATGACCTGTACTGTTTATATTCACTTTGGGACTGAGAACTCTTTAATTTACAACTTTAATCATCATTAGGCTGTTTATGGAGTTACCCCCTGTGCTAGTGCAGCTTTCTGTCCCAACAAAGATTTTTAAAAAGGGTGATGAACTGCATTTACATCATTTCAGAATAAACAACGGCTAACAGAAAAGCTTTCCTCCAACTCTGGGAATTAATGTTGTCACGCTTGCGAGAGAAGCACAGCTTCAGAGATCAGGAAAGCATGTTTTTGAGGGTTCACTCTCCTTGATTTCTGTCTTTCTTCTTTTAAAGTATTTGCAAATGACACACACACACGTGTGTGTATTACAGAGTTATCAGAAGCACAGAGAAGACACAAAAATATTGTGATGTGATTTTGCCTGATCAACCTTGCTATTGCTGAGGCGCGTTCAAAGACGAAGACTTTTACTGCCTACTAGCTAAAGTAACCTTTATTCATAGTGTTCAGTACAAAGGAAAAGCACAAAATGTAGATACATCACAGTGACTGGAATTCTGTTTGAACAAGACTATTGATTGGGCCTGACCTCTTTTTTACACTTTCTCTCCCCCTATTATTTGAAAAGGTGCATCTAAGACTGGCTGAATTGAACCAACTGCAATGAACTTTCTATGAAAACTTCTTGAAGTATTTCTTTTAGTTCAAAGCTTTGGGATTTTTAAAGGGCATTTTTAATACAGCCTGTTGAGGTATTCTGTGCCCAAGCCACACTTTGAATGTTTTAAACTACAGGTAAGTCTGAGAAGAAGGGGAAATGAAGGCATTACAGCAGAATCATGATCTGGGGAAGGGAAGGAAACCTTTTGACCCATGGAATAAATAAAAATGTCAGATAATGCTTTGAGAGAGAACTTTGTTCTAGTCTAGGCGGCATTAGCGTGGGATTTCAGAACAATCATTTAGAAAGTACCTAAGAAATGTATCCCAATATCACTGAACTGCATTGTGACTCTTCAGTAAAGCATGATTCACATACTTTTTCCAGGACTCCAGACTTCAGTTTACTAACAAAAGAGATCACATCAGCACATCTGAAACTTTGTTTCACATTTAAAGTACTGTAAACTATTGTGTTGCATCAAAACCACATGAACATATAGGCGGAAACACAGATTCTATCAGCAAAATATGAAGAATATTAACTTATGAAGTATCTAAGATCTAATCATAAATTGAATTTTTAAAAATGAACACTTGATTTCCTATTTTAATTGGCATTTCAGTTATTGGTAATTATGCCCTTAAATGTCAGTAACATGCTATTTGCTTACACCCAGAGAGAGAAGGAAAGAAGAAAGAAAAGAAAGAAAAAAAGAAAGAAAAAGAAAAAGAAAAGAAATGATAGTTGATAGATAGATAGATAGATAGATAGATACTTAGATGATAGAAATATCAGATATGCTAGAGATAGAAATAGATATATAGAAATAGATAAAGATATGAGTGTGTGGTAAAACATTTCTAAAATACTGAAACCCAGTATTTGTAAACATAAAAACTTCAAATTGCTGGAAACTTTGCCATATCTAGAAGGCTATGCTTTTGGCTGTCATGTATATTAGATTTGATAATGAAAGTATTTGGCTTGGATTTCAATGTTTAAAGGGAAGCTGTACAGTTTTTAAACATTTTTAAAACCTTTGTCTTTAACAATTAGAATGCTATATACTGTAGAAAGAAACTATTATCTCAGTTTAATTCATGTTAAATATGGAGAACTATACTATAATATTTCAAACTATAGTGAAATTACTAGTATTGGAATCTATGAGCTTTATCCCCAATATTATTCTTTATGAGAGAGAGGGAGGGAGGGAGAGAGAGAGGTAGGTAGGTAGGTAGGTAGGTAGGTAAAGGGAAACCACTTACATATTCTTGTCAAGAAAAATGCATGGATATGTCTACAAAGTCACCAGAAATAGATCCTGAATCAAAGGAGATACTATTTTTTAAATCAACATATTTAATCAAAATATATTTAAGATAGTTTAAGAAAAAGAAACCACTTGACATTGGGAGATGGATCAGAATTTTAATGAAGACAACCTTATCTCATTCTGATCTTTGCTAAATGAAATCCTTCTTGTTCGCCTTTGTTTCTCAGTTGCTTTTAATACAATCACCCATGGATACTTGAGTAAGACAGGAAAAGGTAACATAATACTGTTATTCAGCAAACTTGGTTACAAAAAACATTTGGGAATCATGACTTTACACTGTTATATTTGTTGACAAAACCCTACAAGGATCTGTTCCTCTTTTATGCTTTTTAACATCTGAAGGAACTGAACAAGGTAATCTGAGATGTTAATCTATATAAAAAAAGTGGAGAACACACTGGTGCCAATGTTATATTCATTGCAAATTATTCTTTATTTTGCTCAATCATTTTACTTTTAAATGTTGATATTTAAAACTGGCTGAAAATGTTTGAGCTCCTCTATTTTATTGCAGTTATATTTGGTTTGTTTTGGTTTTCATTGCACTGAATATTTGATTTTAAAAAATTTGCTGCATAAACATATTTTCCATGGTGCACTTTATAGATTTGAGAAATATGAAGAACTAAGTTGGTAGTATCCCTCAATATCCATATTGTCCTAACCTAGGAAGAAACTTAAGATCTGATTTGGAGTTAGGCTGGTATGTGGTCAGGCTAATTACAACCAACACGGATTTTGTTTTGTCTCAGCATTTTGTTTTATAGTGCTTCATTTTTTACAGTTCCTTACCTGTTGTATACCTGGCCAGAGTCCACCAGCGGGTGGCTTTAGAATCTGAAAAAATAAATACTAACTATATTGTAACTTAGCGCTATGTGTGAATGCTGCCATTCTCTGATCACCTAACTCCAGATGCCACCTAGAAACAAAAGCAGGCTTTGCAAAGATACAAGACAAAACAGAACAAAATGCAACAACTGCAAAATGTTTGATGGAGGGGGGAATGTGTACAAAAATATGAAAACCTGAATGGTATAATGGGTAATTATCAAGACTTGAATCAGCCTATGGCACATTATTTCATTGCTGGTATACTTGTACGGTGCAAATATTTTGTAATTTTCATTTGCTTTCTTATCATACATTGGCCACAGAAACCTAAACTTCTACTAGTTTCTTAAGGAGTGTCATAACTTCTCTCTCGCTTGCTGGCATTTTTTTTTTTTAAAAAAATCCCATTAACTAACTTGAAGAGCAGACTTTACTGCCTCTGTATTTTTTTCAGTAATATAAAGTATCTTTTCTCACAAGGCAGGCTGTCATGAAATGAGGAAAGCAGAATACTGTTTCTGATCTGTTTGGCTGCTGCAGTTCCAGGCCCGTTTGTCTTCTTTTGAATGAATCTTCATCATGATTATCAAGCCTATACAGTACCAACAACCTTGTGGTGAAGAATGTGGCTCCTTTTTAGATGCCACGTGCAAAGGCTTGAAGTTTCAGGGGAAAGTTTGATAAAAGGAGATTGCTTTCTTCAAACCAGACACATCTCCTGGCCCCTCCATCTTTGCTGAGGCGCTTGCTTGCTACGTTTGTCCCAATGCTTCATAAGGCCTCAAAGCAAATAAAGATGCCAAGCTTTGATTAGGAAACCCAGCCGGGGCATTGATTCTCTTTGTCTCCATGTTATAGAGGCAGCTTCAGTGCATAATTTAATCTCTTCAGGGGACTGTAGTAAATCCACAAGAGATTTCCACCAGCAGCCCTCCTTGACATGAGAACTAGCATGCACATGATCTTTGATGTGAATTCCCTAACCATAGCCTTAGAAGGACCTGTGGCCTTTGATGCTGCCCTAAAAATTGGGCTTTCTGAAAGAAACTTTGA